TGTTTTAATGTAAAAGACAGAAAACTTTTTGATATATGAAGCTGTAAAAACAGTATTGCATTGCTTGCAATCTCCCTAAGAGGTCAATAAAAATGTGGCTAATTTCAATCACATGACTGTAAATAAAATACAGTGCATGTACATGCAAATCATCACTGATATTCGATATTAATTATAATGACATTGTTTTGCATGGTGCAGAATTGTTGTATTTATTTACTTCATCATGTTCATTTATGATAAATATACAATTAACTTTGGTACCTCAAACACTGATATATTCATGGATATTTTGAAGTGAGTTTGACCTCCCCTTTTCTCTTTTTCTAAGTTATTACAACCTAAATATATTGAATCCTCATTTGTAGAGAACTTTTCATTACCTCTTTCACTTTCAATTCAACATAAGGAGGTTCAACTCTTACAGTATCTATATGATTACTTATAATATACAGGATACATGTATTACAATAAATCTCTGTACACACCCTGCAGTTTGTTGATTGGTCCTCAGTAAAATCTTACAGTCATTATGAATCTGCTTGACTTTGTTTAAACTGGTAAAAAACTCCTAAAAGAAAAAAAGTTGTATGATTTTTATCAAAGCAAAGTATTGTATGCAATATATATTCACTGTACACATACATATTTATGTGACACTGTGTTGTTATTTATGTAATTCGAAGCAAAAAAAAATATTTCCTCAAACTTGAAAAAGCAAACACACTGATTTCTGAATGCTGATACTGTAAAACAAAGAAATAGAAGTCTCTGACTCACTGGAATGCTGTACCAGTTTTTATTGAACAATTTGAAAAGTATAATAAAATTGTACTTGGACTTGAAACAATGGCACTAGGTAACTAATAAATAATGTAAAAATCCTTGGTTTTCTGTGTCAGATTTAATTGCAGCTGGATAAAATTTGGTAGAAGTGTCCATGAGATTAAATTTAGCAGAATTCTTAACTCTTAGAAAACCATTGCAACACCATTTATTAATATCAAAATTAAAAAAAATAATTTGATCCCTTGGTATATTAAATACACAGGTAGAAACAAAACTTTTCAGTTAAGACTGAAAGGCGGCTTTCAGTGACTTTTCAGTGGCCATTCAGCCACTGAATGGCACATACATTTCAGTGATCTTTCGGTTGCCTTCCAGTCACCTGTCAGCAAATACACATTACTGATTTGTGTATAACAAGAAGGATTTTTGTACCCTTATTGACAATTTGACATGTAAACAATCAATTCATTGGCTGATATCTAACCCCTGACCTGACTCACTTGACCTTTTACCTGACTTAGTGATCCGTCTCGACTTCCTCTAAGGGCCTTCACTTCATTTGGTTTCAGTTGAAACTTATCCAGAAAAACATCAGCCACTTGTGACTTCATTTGTACCTTTTGGCTAAAAAAAATACGTTCACATTAAAATAAATAAATGTAAATATAAATAAATATATTTCTAATTACAGTCATACATTTTTTTGTAAAACACAGCATGTTAAATATATTTTTCACATATTGTCACTCCATGAAGCTGTTTCTGCCTCAATAAGATTGTAAATTAATAATTTCATTTATTTCATCGTTTCTTAAGACAAAGAAATTAAATAAAATAAGCTTTTATAATCACCCATACATGCAAATAAGAAATTAACAAGATGCAGTGATCAAAAACATATATCATAAATGAACCAACCTTTCAGCATGGAGTTTTGTAGTCTGCGATATCAAATCCTGGGTCTGTTCTTTTGCTGCCTAAGAATATAAATTTATGTAAATTTGTATATTTTACATGGACACAATAAACAATGGTATATTTATTTTAGACTAAAATATTAAGGGCCTTTAAAATTTGTAATTTCTGTATTTAACAAGAGGACAGCAACCAAAAAAAAAAAGAACAAATTACATTAGAAAGTCAATTTTAATTTTTTCTAAACTTTTCAAAGCCAACCAAAAGCATGGGGGTACATGAATGTTGTATGTGAATATAAACATGTATTGAAATACTATATTATATATAACCCAAACTTCATGTTTGTTTATAATTATCTAGACAATATTTGCCACATAGAAAACATTTCTGAATACAAAATATTTCAAGCAACTTAATTGATTTACTGTAATAGACCAAAACTAAGACTTTCAATTAATTTATAATAGGCAAGTTTTTGGTATGCACAGCTTCCAAATAAAACATGTTTTACTGTGACTTGTATAATTTAAGAATGTAGATGCCATTTAGACTTTCTACAAAAAAAAAATTTAAAGGGAGCAAATGTATGCATATTTTTTATTACCTTCAATCTTGATGTCATATCCTCACAACAATCATTCATGGCCTTTACATCCGCATACACACTGTCTAGTTGCTAATAATTAAAATGTGTTTAAAAAATGAAATAAAAGACAAAACTAAGTTTCTAAACAAATATGTAAAATTCAAAGTGATACAGTAATGCCATGCTGTATGTAAACATTTTTACCAAACACCTTCAGTTCATTATGCTAACCTGGGGCACATTTCCATCTGATATTAATTACATGTAAATAAGGAGAAACAATAGAATTAATTGTCTTTATGTATGACCATAAACTTGAAAACAATGGTCTCAACACCTTTTAAAAATATTCCATTATATCTGAAATACTATCCCATTATGATATCATATTTAGATTTTGAGAAATCATGGGTAACATATACATGTACTATTATTCATCTCAAAGAAAAATATTAAGTAATGATGTTGAACAACTCTAAATGCACAAAAATGAAGTCAATTTGAAACCTTAAATCTAATGTCCTAATTGAGACAGTTACTCTGTGTTCACTCAACTGCAAAAATCAACATTATTCATAAACTCACCTCTTTGACTCCTTGAAAAGTCTGTAAAAATTCCTCGTTAATGGACAGACTCCTGCGTTCTATGTCACTTCTGAGGTTTCTTCTTGTCCGAAGACTGTTCTCAGTGAAAAAGGTTGACAATGCCTTGAGAGATTCAAGCATTTCCTGAAATATTTAAAAACTTTAGATGAATTGCTGCATCTGTTATGGATTTTTTGCACACAAAATAAATCATATACATGTCAAACAAGATACAAAGCAAAGGCACATAAGCCTTTAACAGGTTGGGCACAGCCTACCAAATGGTACTTTATCCCCCGTAAAATTTAATATCGGTAACGAATTTTACTAACCAAATGGGGAACTTTTTTATTCTATTGCAATTTTTATTAAAATAAAACAAAAGCGCATTCATTCAGGCAAGGGGGGATTTTAGTGAACATATTCCTCGTACAATTAACATAAATCGGTCGAATTTCTATGTGTAATTTTTCCGTAACTTCGTAAAAACAATACCCGTAGTTGTCTGTAACAGCCGAACTTCTTGATCAAACGATCAAAAAAAAATCTTTATTGCGTCTTGTTGGATAAAAATCCAATTTTATACAGTGATTTATATGATGAGTTAACTTTCAATCTCTTTTTGGATCTTCGTCAATGTTTATCTCCATAAAATCCTGTTAAACACGATCCTCATGCCTTACCGGTATGGTGGGCACTTCCTGCTATAAAGTTAATTTTTTCCAATATATAATACTTGTTGTTATTTTTCTTTTAGGATGAAGTTGCAGATTCCATGCGATCTTTTGGGGTTTAATATGCATATTACTGGTGAATTTAATAAATTTGAAAAATAATATTCAATAAAAGATGTACAAAATGACTTTTGCCATTATTCTTGTTTTTGTTCCAAGTGCATCGTTTTAAAACAATAATTATGTCATACTCCAACTGCATTTACTATTTCTATGAAGAACAAAGCCATTGTGTTCAAAATAAAAAGAAATAAAGGCAAAACTTATTTTTCTTCTGATTTCCTAAGTTGAAAATTAACACAAATGTGCCTCCGTAGTTAAATCCGACTTTTCATCAGGTTTAAAAAAGATCATCGTTTTGATTGGTTTGCACTAATTGATTGGTTGCCCGGATAATCGAAATAGAAAGTAAAGGACATGATTGACAGGTGCAGCATCGTTGGAGAAGGAGAGAATTTTCTTTTAAAGTAAAAAACGGAGAAACATTGCACTTGTTTACATAAGCTACGTTTTTTGTCAAATTTTTGAGACTTGCAAAAAATTGCACATAGAATTTTTGATTTTTTTCACCCAGAACACCGATAAATATCTATATTATATTCCACATGGTTTAAAATTATGCGAAATTACACTCCACTCTATGGAATTAAACAAAACCAATTTTGTCCCCCATTTGGTTAGTAAAATTCGTTACCGATATGGTAGATTATCTACCAAACGGGGGATAAAGTACCATTTGGTAGGCTGTGCCCAACCTGTTTAATTATTGTTATATATGCTTTGTTCAAATATATTGTTCACCTTTTTGGAAAGAGGCAAAATCTCCATAAAATCAATGCAACTAATGGTGCACTCAGTAAGTACAGTATCAGAGTATGGGACTGATTCACCCCAACATAAATATTGGCTCAATTTATGATAACTTGCTATGCAATACTTTTTAGCTGGTCATTTACCTTATCATTGTCGAGTCTAGTTTCCAGAATCTTATTGAGCTTCCTTGACAGGGGGTTAGTTGCTGGAGTAGACGATGTTTCCGCGACTGTTCCATCTCGGTCCGTCATGTTGGCAAACAATCGATGTAGAATATATGCTTCTTTTCTTTAGTGTAAATAATTGCTTTCTGAAACATTTGAAAGACCTAAATACTAAGAACTGAATCGAAATCGGAGAATCCGGATTGTTATTTCATTGATGTGTCGCCATTAAAAAATCGACTGTAATTGTAAAACCGCAGGGGTAAGATTATACTTAAAAACCTATTTAAAGCTCTATTCCGTTTAATTTTTTAGCAATCATATTAACAATTTCTATGGTTATCACAGGGCTTTGGTGACATTTCAGGTTTATCCTCTGTCATTTTCACCAAAATTGATTCACCTTTGTGATGCATCTCACAGGAGCCAAGGACTGAACAGAAGGAGGAGGGAGCATCATAAGTCCTAGATAGGGACTACCTTGAAATAACAAACGTTGACAGTCCTTCATCCTTGGGCACCATGAGTAGATTCGACGAAGAGCCTGGGGTTACAGATCTTGTTTTACTTGTGGAAGGGAGAAAAATTTATGTGACGAAAGCTATCCTCATGCACGTTTCTCCTGTTTTTAAAACAATGTTTACATCAGACTTTAGAGAAAAGGACCAACAGGAGCTCCTACTTCCTGGGAAGAAATATGACAACTTTGTCTTGTTTTTGACACAAATTTATCCTGGGGAACGACCTCCTCTAACAGGTATTAAATATGGTGGCCCGTAAGTGCATTAAAAAATAGCAAAAATGTCGTGTCTTGGGTGGAGGAGGGGAAGGGGGGGTTACACAGTTATACACCACAAGAAATACTACTATAAGTCCCTGTCACACGGTGACAGTGACACCCCACTACTACTAGCCTAGGTAATGCTTCTTGTAACAGAACAAAGGGGATGATAAATAAGGATTATACAGGGAAATCTTTAAAAATTCTTATCTTAATTAGAAAAGCCATTTGATGAATCATTTGGAAACACCCTAATTGATACTGTAGTGTAGATTGGTTTTGTTAAAAGCACAGCCCTTGTTTATATATGCGAGATAATGAGCCTACAAAGCTGATCAAATTTTTTGAAACAAACAAACCAGTGCAAAATTGGGATTAAATCTTATTTTGAAGAACTGCAAGGCAAATGTGACTCATGTGAGCATTATAGCCCATGGACCTCTTTTTTAGTAGCCTCTCTTGCAAATTAGGGATGGACATTGCCAAAAACATTATGTGAATATTATCATGATTTTCGATCCCCTTAAATATATCATGATTGATATGTGTATTTTTACTTGCCATTTTTTTCTTAAAAGATGGGGGGGATAAGACGGGCAGAATGCCTATAGCGCGACAGATAAGAAATGAAAAACGTAATCTCAATTAATACATTCAAATTTTATTTCATATTTCATCTAACATTAAAGTATACTTAAGGTAGGATTTTTCTCTGGTTTCTGACTAGATGAAACATTAAAAGTATATTTGCTTATATGTCTTATATATTGAGGTGTAAGGAATTTAAAAGACCATATTTTTCTTTCCTCATCACAATTGTACAACTTTAAATAGAAATGATAAACTGCGTTTGAAAACTAGCAGGGACTATATTTTTGGCGGAATGGTGGTGTATGAAAATATCTTCTTTTCTGCCTCTCAAAATTATTATAGAACAATGAATTTAGTTATAATTTTTACACAATCGAAGACTTGGAGAAATTTTCAAATGTAACTTAGATTAATAATGAGGGACTAAACTTTCAAAATATATCAAATAAATATGATTTTTCAAATAAACTAGAACTTTATTAGCTTTTGAACGCTTCCTATCAAAGTGCAGATTTGAGCCAAAAATTCATAAAAAGTATTTTTTCTCTCTAAGTAAACGATCAAAACTTTTTGTTTTTGTATCATTTTGTAGCATTCGTAAGACTTCTTTATTATATGTGAAAATAAGAAAAAGTTAAATATAGGAAGCATATGAAAATAACTAATATATCCTAAAAAATTAAGAAAAACAGAGAAAATTTGGATTAGCCAATATCCAGTTAAGTTAAATTATTTATGTAATTTTGGTAATATCATGCTATAGACCCGATATAGTAATTGGTTTTTATGCAAAAAGAACAATCATTTATTTAAACTTTTGAAATAGAAGAGGTACAACATGATTGGCAACAGTTATTTTTTATTCTTAATGTCAAGGAAAAAGATAATGACCTTGACATGACCTTGCCTCTAATATAAACGGTCAAACTTAATTTCACTGATACTATAACTTACTGATATTGTCTTCTTGATTCTGTGAAAATTTCATTAATTTTTAAATATTAGAAATATGAGAAGAATCCTACCTTAATGTAAAATCTCAATCTAAATTTACAAAAATCTCACAAAGACTGAAAATATTTGCCTATGAAAAAGCATACACATACTTAAAAGAACAAAAACGATCATTTTTCATACTTTAACAAATTTTTTCAATATGACCGGGTCTTCGCTCCATATTTTTAGCTCACCTGAGCCGAAGGCTCAAGTGAGCTTTTCTGATCACATTTTGTCCGGCGTCCGTCTGTCTGTAAACTTTTCACATTTTCATCTTCTTCTCAAGAACCGCTGAGCCAATTTCAACCAAACTTGGCACAAAGTATCCTTGGGTAAAGGGGATTCAAGTTTGTTCAAATGAAGGGCCACGCCCTTTTCCAAGGGGAGATAATCATGAATTTGTTAAAAATTAATGGCATTTTTAAAAAAAATTCTTCTCCAGAACCACTGGGCCAGGAAAGATGAAACTCATGTGTAAGCATCCTCAGGTAGTGTAGATTCAAGTTTGTTCAAATCATGGCCTCCGGGGCAAGGTTGGGGCCAAAATGGCCGACCCGAGTTTTACATAGGAATATATAGGAAAAATCTTTAAAAATCTTCTTCTCCAGAACCACTGGGCCAGGAAAGATAAAACTCATGTGGAATCATCCTGAGGTAGTGTAGATTCAAGTTTGTTCAAATGATGACCCCCGGGGCAAGGGTGGGGCCAAAATGGCCGACCCAAGTTTTACATAGGAATATAGAGGAAAAAATCTTCTTCTCAAGAACCACTGGGCCAGGAAAGATGAAACTCATGTGGAATCATCCTCAGGTAGTGTAGATTCAAGTTTTTCAAATCATGACCCCCGGGGCAAGGTTGGGGCCAAAATGGCCGCCCAAGTTTTACATATGGATATATTGGGAAACCAATATATTTAAAATCTTCTTTTCAAGTACTTCAAAGCCATGATTAGTGATATTTTTATGCAATCATCCTAAGGTAGTGTAGATTCTAGTTCAAATCATGAACCCCTAGGGGGGTAAAAATTCAAGCCCCCCCTCCCCCCACCATCACCTCAGTAAACTTTCAGTTCTGATCTGATATGTGCTTTTTCCTAGCCGATGGGGTCAGGTGAGCGTTGTGGCCCCTGGGCCTCTTGTTTGAAAGATAATCCTAAAAGTTTGCGATAAAATAAATATTTTTTGGTTTACAAGAAAATGGAGGGAAGACCCACTATACCTTAAAAGTACACTTGTATGACAAAGCATAAGCGCGTTAGTCTCAAAGCAGTATAATACTTCCGTATTTTGTTGCTGGGGTTCGAATCCCATATATACTATCTAATATTTTTATAGATGAATTTTTTTAAGAGATTTATTTTCTTTCAGAAATTTTTTTTCTTAAAATTACATAAATTTACATAAATTACATAAATTTCAATAATGAGAGTTGAGAAGTAAATTTAAATACTCAATTTACATATCAAATGTGATTTCTTAATGACTGATGCTATAGGCATTCTGCCCCCCTTATCCCCCCATCTTCTTTAAATTAATGAATTTCCATAATTTTTGTAACAAGTATGGTGTGAAAAAAATATATCTTTTTATCATTTTAATGTATATATTAAAAAAAAAACATTTTGATGCCAAGACACTATCCTTTTACTGGTTATTCTTTTTTTTTTTTTTTTTTTTTTTACAATACTGGTAATTTAATTCAAAAAATTTAAACAATTAAAAATTGAACAAAACAATTATTTTGGGTATATTTACATGTATAATTATAATGCATACAAATACTTGTCAATTAATTTTTTATCTCGATATGTACCACACTATAAAAAAAATTTATTAACCGTTATACTGATTATATCCTCCATCCCTTACACAGATCACTCAAAAGCTTTTTAATTTTTAAGTACATGTATTTTGTTTCACGAACACTTGCAAAAATTCATGTATTTGTTGTTGTGCTTCTAGCTGGCTTCTTTCTCAGAATATGCTATTTAAAGACTGAAATTCATTAGGAGGCTAAGTTCAGTTTAATATTTCACTTTATTTTATTCCATTATTTAGGGGATGTCCTAAGAAAGATTTTACCGTACGTAGATGAATATCAAGTGGATTACCTGAAGAAAGATTGTCAAAACATACTTGTGCAGGGTTTAGAAGTTTCTAAAGGAATGAGATATTTACTAGAAAACCTGTACATAGCCACAACCTATGGATTTCAAGAACTCTACCAGAAGGCTTTACACCTTTTGAGAATTTTTCCTCTGGACCCTTGTAGACAGTCCAACATCTTTCAACGTTTGCCTTCAGAGACAAAGCTGGATTTGGCCTTTGCGAGATGTCGCCATTTGGAAAAGAAAAAAGAGAGTTACAAGAAAAAATTAGCAAAGAAGTCATGATTCATAAAAATGTATGTTTCACCTAAATAGGACATCATCCATAATCTAATTCATTGGGGTTATGTGTAAATATTTATGTCTGTGTAAAATGGATTAATTTTGTTATTGTGATGATGTACGTAATCTGGATCTGAGTTTAGTAATATTAATTTTAAATGCATTTTGTCTTGTGATATGTACGGTACATGTATTCACATTTACCATTTTTATGATGATTATGATTGTTTTTATTTATTAACTTGAATATCATGATTGTTTTTATTTATAAACTTGAATATCCCACAAAATTTAATCAATCTTAATTTTATTACGGTAAGTATATACATGTATATATGGAAAATTTTTAAGTTAATTTATGCAAGTGACTGAGTACTTGATGACCAATTATTGACCTATCATTAGTTGTTAAAGGTGTTTAAATCCTTTTAAGAAACTTAAATTAATTTCTTGAAGCGTGAAATTTAAACAGTCAAAAATGGTACTTGATAAGAAATCGTGAAATTTTGACACTGTGGAATTAAAACAACTTACAGTATGTACATGTAGTTATTTAAAAAAAAAATCTAAAATCATCAATAAAAGAAGATTGACAAATTTTCCTTTAATTATTCTTGTTAGGGGAGAAAAATAACTTGAGGGAATACATACACAGTAATATTAAATACATATCATATTATTTTGTGATTTCGCATTGTCCCTCAGTGTCCAGCTGTTTTTTCCTGTATATTTGTCTGTTTACAAACTGTTTAAAAGTTATTAAGAAGGTTAAAGTTTGAAAAATTCTCAATTTTTTGAAAATTCAACTTGATATTTTGATATATTGACGACATATTGTCAAAAATTAACAAATAATAGTTGTTTAGATTCTTATGTCGACATGATCCCTGTGAGTTTCAAATAAAAGATATCACAGAGTATGACACATCTGTTTCATATTTGGACATGTTACTAGAAACAAGAGGCCCAGGGGCCACAGCGCTCACCTGAGCACATCGGCTAGGAAAAAACACGTATCAGATAAGAACTAAAAGTTTACTGAGGTAGGGGGGAGGGGGGGGGCTTGAATTTTAACCCCCCAGGGGGTCATTATTTGAACAAACTAGAACCTACACTACCTGGTGATAATTCCATATGAATATCACTAATCATGGCTTTGAAGTACTTGAAAAAAAGATTTTAAAAGGTTTCCCTGTATATTCTTTTGTAAAACTGTTTTCGACCATTTTGGCCCCACCCTAGCCCCGGGGGTCATGATTTGAACAAACTTGAATCTACACTACCTGAGGATAATTTCACATGAAATTCATCTTTCCTTTCTCAATGGTTCTTGAGAAGAAGAGTTTTAAAGATTTTTCCTATATATAATTCCTATGTAAAACTTTGATCGGCCATTTTGGCCCCACCCTAGCCCCGGGGGCCATGATTTGAACAAATTTGAATCTACACTATCTGAGGATAATTTTACATGAGTTTCTTCCTTCCTGTCTCAATGGTTCTTGCGAAGAAGATTTTTAAAGATTTTTCCTATATATTCCTATGTAAAATTTTGATTGGCCATTTTTGCCCCACCCTACCCCTGGGGGTCATGATTTGAACAAACTTGAATCTACACTACATGAGGATGCTTCCATATAAATATGATCAAATATGGCTTTGTTATTCTTGAGAAGAAGATTTTTAAAGAATTTTCCTATATATGTCTATGTAAAACTTTGGTTGGCCATTTTGGCCCCGCCCTACCCCCGGGGGTCATGATTTGAACAAACTTGAATCTACACTACCTGAGGATGCTTCCAAATAAATATGATCAAATATGGCTTTGCTATTCTTAAGAAGAAGATTTTTAAAGAATTTTCTTATATATTTTTTTATGTAAAACTTTGGTCGGCCATTTTGGCCCCGCCCTAGCCCCGGGGGTCATGATTTGAATAAATTTGAATTTTCACTACCTGAGGATGTTTCCCCATAAGTTTCATCTTTCCTGGCATAGTGGCTCTTGAGAAGAAGATTTTTAAAAGATACCACCAAATTTTCATCGATTCCCAATTATCTCCCCTTGAATGAGGGCATGGCCCTTCATTTGAACAAAGTTGAATCCCCTTCACCCAAGGGGGCTTTGTTGCAAGTTTGGTTAAAATTGGCTCAGCGGTTCGTGAGAAGTCGAAAATGTGAAAAGTTTATGACGACGACAAACAACGGACAAATTGTGATCAGAAAAGCTCACTTGAGCCTTTGGCTCAGGTGAGCTAAAAAGACGTTAAAGGTTTATAATCTTGATCATTTAAGCCAGATTAAAGCCAATTTTATAACTTTTTAATAACATTATTTTTTTGGGCTCAATAAACATGATAAACCCAAACCGTACATTCTTCTTTAAAACATAGTACCACCTCAACGGATAAGTGCAGACAGACGGACAGGGCAAAAACTATATAATTATACCCCCCGAATCTTCGATCATGGGGGTATATTAATGAAGAATTAGAGGCAAAAATATATAATTAAAACCAAAATGGGTTTGTGAAACACATGCCCCCGTATGGCAGCTGATATCGAAGGTTTAGGATGGGGGCAAAATCTCCTGAAAGGAGAAATTATTAATTATTTGATAAGTATAGACAACTGATATCGAGGGTTGATGATGGATAGGATGGGGGCAAAATCTTCTGAAAGGAGAAATTATTAATTTTTAGCTCACCTCGGCGAAGTCGAGATGAGCTTATGTTATACCCCCGGCGTTGGCGTCGGCGTCCCAGGTTAAAGTTTTAGGAGAAAGTCCATTCTCAAGTAACTATAAGCCCTACCTGAACCAAACTTGCATGGATGATGCAGTTAGGGATGGACACTACCAGACCTGCTTCGGATGCTGGATCTGACCTACATTTTCAGATGAGTGACCAAGTTAAAGTTTTTGGAGCAGGTCCATTCCCAAGGAACTATAAGCCCTACCTGGACCAAACTTGCACGGATGATGCATCTAGAGATGAACACTACCAGACTTGCTTCGGATGCTGGATCTGATCTAGCTTTTCATCCCCAAGTAACTATAAGACCTACCCGGACCAAACTTGCATGGATGATGCATTTATGGATGGGCACTACCACACTTGCTTCGGCTGAATCTTACCTAAATTTTCATTCCAAAGTAACTATAAGGCCTACCTAAACCAAATTTGCATGGATGATGTATCTAGGGATGGACACTACCAGACTTTTTTGGATGCTGGATCTCACCTATATTTTCATTCCCAAGGAACTATAAGCCCTACCTGAATCAAACTTGCATGGATGATGCATCTAGGGATGGACACTACCAGACTTATTTTTGATGCTGGATTTGACCTATATTTTCATTCCCAAGGAACTATAAGCCCTACCTGAACCACACTTGCATGGATGATGTATATAGGGATGGACACTGCTAGATGTGCTTCGGATGCTGGATCTGACCTACTAGTATATTTTCATTCCCAAGTAACTATAAGCCCTACCTGAACCAAACTTGCATGGATGATGCATCTAGGGATGAGCACTACCAGACTTGTTTCGGATGCTGGATCTGACCTATATTTTCATTCCCAAGTAACTATACAGTTCAAGACCTACCCGGACCAAACTTGCATGGATGATGCATCTAAGGATGGACGCTACCAGATTTTTTTCGGATGCTGGATCTGACCTATATTTTCATTCCCAAGGAACTATAAGCCCTACCTGAACCAAACTTGCATGGATGATGTATATAGGGATGGACACTACTAGATGTGCTTCGGATGCTGGACCTGACCTATATTTTCCATACAAGAGATCAGGTTAAAGTTTTGGGAACAGATCAATCCCAATGAACTTGAAGTTGAAATTTGCAGTATTTTCAAAGTTAAGAATATTTGTTTCCACTATACATGTTTTTCATGCTACAGGCGTAGAAATGTGTATATATGCCATGTAAGGGGTTAAACACAACTTGCAAGTATTGTAGTTGATTTTTGTATATTTTTGTTTGAGCTTGATTCCCGCTTGGCTTATGAGGGATGACAACACTTGTTTTCAACCTCTGATGATATCGGTCTTAAAAGAAAACAAGTTGTAAGCTATTATAGATTTATTTTGGAGAAACCGCAACTCATATCAATAAAATTATTAATTTTACAAAACACTCTGAAAAAGAAACAAATTATTAATAACATTTCATTTTTATCAACATATTACATTTCAGTTGCGTTAACTTTCAAAGTATATAAACATGAATATTATAAACATAGGGATGATTGAATTTACATGTACGTACCTTAAAAGAAAACAAGTTGCAAGCTATTATAGATTTATTTTGGAGAAACCGCAACTGAGGTTGTCAGGGCGCGCACGGCCATTATATACCCCAGAACCGGTTTCCATGACAATTCTGCAACTTGTTAACTTTTTCGGTACCCATGTGACATGACCGCATGTGGTCAGCATGTGATCAGTGTTCCTTAATACTAATTGAAGTTTTACTTTTGCCAAATTTAGAATTCCGTATTTCATAAAATCAATTTAGGATGCGTTCAAAGTCATTAACTTTGACCAAAATCAACATTGTTACTTCTAGAGAACACTGATCACTTACACGAATTATTTGATCTATTGATAGTGTTTAACTTTATTGCTCAATCGCCTGGTCCAAATACACAATTTGTAAATAACATTTACGGAATATCTTTACAACCTCTCAGTAATAAATGCTAAGTAATTTCAAATACAACCTTGCACTTGATATATGAATAACACATAGAAAATCAATAGATATTGAATTTGTACTCAATTTACATAAAAAATGGAAAAATAATACAAAAATTCTATATTACAAGAATATTGTTTTGGGATAAATACTAAATATTAAGAAAATTTGATGTGAGATTTGTATTACTTACACTGATAACATTTGTCGCGGTGAGCTTTGTAATCTTTGATTACCTATGTTTTGATAAGTATCTATAGACAGTTTTTTTAATGCACCCACAATCGAAAAATCGGGGGTATGTAGTTTTTGCCTTGTCCCTCTGTGTGTCTAGCTGTTTTTCCTGTCTATTTGTCTGTTTACAACCTATTCAAAAGTTATTATTAAGGTTAAAGATAGAAATTTTTCAATTTTTTTAAAAATCAACTCGACATTTTGATCATATCGACGACGTATTGTAAAAAATTAACAATATTTATTATAGTTGTTTCCATTCTTATATCGACACGATCGTAATGTGAGCATAAAAAAAAGACATCAAAGAGTAAGATACATCTGTTTCATATTTGGATATATAACTAGAAAAGGACGTTAAAGGTTTATAATCTACATGTAACAAAAAAGCTTTGTTGCAACCACTATTGAAATAACGACTACTATTGAAGTAATTATATCAATAGTGGTTGAGAGTGCATTTCAATAGCAAACATAGTTAGTCACAACTATTGAAATACGACCACTATTGAAATAATTATATCAATAGTGGTTGAGAGTGCATTTCAATAACAAACATAGTGAGTAACCACTATTGAAATACGACCACTATTGATATAATTATTTTAACAGTGGTCGTATTTCAATAGTGGTTACTAACTATGTTTGCTATTGAAATGCACTCTCAACCACTATTGATATAATTATTTCAATAGTGGTCGTTATTTCAATAGTGGTTGCAACATTGCATTTCAATATGATAACCATAGATTTCAATCACTATTGAAATACAAGCACTATTGAAATAATTATTTAATAGTGGGGAATAGTACTTTTCAATATGATTACCATAGGTTTTAACCACTATTGAAATACGACCAGTATTTGAAAGAGAAGTTTCATCGCGTGATTTTAAATTTTTTATCCAAAATTTCACAAAAATTGAATTTGGGTGAAAATATATATAAATTAATAATTAAAGTGTATAAATTAATAATGATGGCTTTAGTGAGACAACATTTTGAACATCACATAAGGTTTACAATTTCTTTATATTTTAGCCATTTATTATTTGCATCATTTTTAATGAAATCAGACCAAAAAATATATACCAATTAATCCAAGCATCCATATTTTGTTTGTATCATCTGTCCTTAAATGAAGATTTAGATAGTTATTGATATTATAATTTCAGAAGTGATTTAAATAATTATTTTGATAGTTGCTGATAATACTTCAAAACTAAAAGCACAATTTAATCTATATTGAAATCTTTATTTCAAAAGTGAACATTATTTCAATAGTGGTTGCAACCTATGTTTGTTATTGAAATGAATCTCACCCACTAATAAAATAATTATTTCAATAGTGGTCGTATTTCAATAGTTGTTACTAACTATGTTTGCTATTGAAATGCACTCTCAACCACTATTGATATAATTATTTCAATAGTGGTCGTTATTTCAATAGTGGTTGCAACAAAGCTTAATGATAAACGTAATGACTGTAACTTTTCAATCGTTATCTTTCCTTACCTATAAAACGATATACATTCATCACCTGCATAACGTTACGGAGTATATTTCTCCAATGAAAAATTATACAATACAAACGGAGAATGAAAAAAAAGAATACAAATAAAAATTTACAATACAAATGGAAAATTTTACAATGCAAATGAAAATATACGAGTATACAATACAAAATGTACTAATAAAAATTACACAATACATATGGAAAAGATCGAATTTTGCAACGTTTGACGTGCCTGGAGAAAATTGCAATGTACTTTATGCCCTTCAAAAATATGACGTCTTTATGGAAAATGACGCGTCAAGTCACAGCAAACGTAGGCGTTATGACGAAGAGAGTGTCATAAACTTTACGACTTATGGAAACTGCTTGTAAAAATTTTAGTAAAATCCACGTGTATAGTCTGTCCCACGACCGGGACGTCATTACTTTTTGCAAAATATCTCAAAATAAATAAATACCTTTTAATATTTGTTATTTTTAAATATTGCATTTTGGAATATTTCAAAATACGTTTTTTAGAACTTAAGGTGATTCCACCCTCACAATTTTATAGGTTCAAAGTACAAAAACTGCATTTATTTTCATTTAATATACTTTAAACTTTCCAATTATTGCAAAAAATGCATAGGTCACCATAAAATTATTTAAGATGCGAAACATAAATAAACAGAAGTGTATATCAACATAAAAAAAAGCGCACATTTTTTGTAAACAGTATTATGAAAAATATGTAAAAACTGGTCAAAATGCATAATTCTGATGCTGAGTGTTCCTAAATACTCCCTATTTAAAAGATACTTTTGAATTGTCAATATCAGGGAAACTATTTTACAATAAAGCAAATGCCTGAATGAAGAGGCCTTAGAAGGAGTTATTGCCCTTGTCAACATTTTTGAAAGATTGAATAATTGATTAAATATAGAAAATATGCATTTTTTATATTCTTTAACTTAACAATATTTATCATTACACCTATTGTAATGCATTCTTCCAAGAGATATTGTTCTATTAGGTATGAATTTAAACTAATTACAGTTTTTGCAAAAACCTATGACATCATAGGAGGGTGGAATTACTTTAAGCCTTGATTGAAATTCAGCTGGTTGAAAATGCCCATGAAAGTTAATATGCTATTGAAATGTAGTCGTGGTTCTAAATTTAGCAAAAATGTATGTTATCATAAATAGTTGAATCCACACTTTTCAAAAGTTATATCCCTTGGCCGCCATCTTTGGGGAAAACCCATAGAATCCTCATTGTAGCTTTTGTAGTTTTTAGGTTTGTAACTTTGTCATTTGACTGGAAAAAAATGTTGCATACTATATACTGATTGCCTCGAGGTGGGACTACCGACGCACTGAAAGAAAACAATTTAAACACAGTGGATTCATCGGAACCTGTCCAAATGTTTTAAATGTAGCATAAAGAGGAGACATGTTTCTTTTCCTTTTGGTTGACCCTGCAAAGGGACACAACTTTTGTACAGTGTTTGATTGGACTATTATGGGTGTATAAAAGAGTCTATATAGATAAGGTGATTAATGAGGATAAGTTGAGATCTGTGGAAATCAGATGAAGGAGTTTGGTGTCTGACCCATTAGATAGTTTTCAGTAGACCCAAATTAACAAGAGTTATTTCCCTTTGGCCGCCATATTGAGGGTCAACATGCTGATATTCCTTCATAATTCAACCAATTTTAACTTTTTATACTGGCTATTGTGGGCTGAGAAGCGTTGTTTTTCTGACAAATATACATCTGTTAGAGCCTCAATTATTTCGTAATGTTTATTCCATAACAATTTCCCCCCAAATATTTCTGTTACACCCTTTTATATTTGGTAAGACAAAGAGGGAAAATTACCTGCTTGACCCCCAAGATGGCGGTCAACGGGAAATAACTCTTGTTAATATGGGTCTACTGAAAACTATCAATATTGCTTTGGAAAAAAATGTGATTGCTTTGTTTTAATACAGATTACGATAATGAGTGGAAAACAATATGCGCAACCTCAATCGTGTCGGTACTTATTGAACTTCTCGTGAAATATTGTGCTCAAGTAATTCTATCACTTTCCCCAAGAAAATTTCGGGAACACAAGGATATACGTTTATTAATATAACAATTTTTTCCCTTTTCTACCACATTTCAATAAGCAGGAAAACAATCATATACATGTACATGTGTGTGTACTCACGTAGATTATGAATAATTGCTTTATAAGAGCATGACTAAATAACAGTTGTGCAGAAGAAATAATAAACAAAATAGTGCAAGGAAATTTAAGTCATAAATATAAAAGGGTAATCCTTCAGTCAGTGACCGACGCTTCAGCTTTGTTTGTTCCCTCCAGTTTCAGTTAATTGTCATTGAAAGTCAGTGATACTCCTGCTGATTTAACGTCTGTATAGTAACATAACATCTTATAATAATTTTATATTTCAGCGCAAGTTTTCTGACTTTACCCCAAAACAAGAAAACCATGAATTAGGGTTTTTAAAATTTTCTTATTTATAAATAACAAGATGCTTCCACTAACTGACCCGTGGTTTTGCTTCTTATAGTGATTTGCAGCTCGGTTTCTCCAAATCTATATTCCACATCCACCTTACATGGTTTATTTTCGGGGTGTTCGATGAGATTTCCCAGGTGGATTAGACAAATTCGCTGACATCCGGGTTCAAACGTATAATGCACATCATTCATGGAAGAATAAAGGTCAATTATGCTTTCATCATGATGAAAGTGCTTGAAGGTGTATTCTTTCTTGATCACCTGGTCACGCGGAATCCTATCTCCTCTTTTAGCGATAGGATTGAAAATAAAGCAACAAAACTGGCCTCCATCTTCTTCGCACTTCTATTTTTCATGATGTTTTTGTGAATTGTAACGAACTTTTGCATTGATACCGTAATTAAAACGCAATACACGCCAGGAAATGACGTCTTTCATATGCCCAAACATGGCAGCACCTTTCAGGACCGACAACCCTGCCTCTGGTGGTATGATAATTTTACAACTCTCACTCTTAAAGCGATTCTCAAAATGCCTTTGGACTATCGAGGATTCTGCAAATCCTCCCACGAGGATAATCATGGATATATTCGACACGTTTGATTGCTCGATAACAGCGGACACATGGTCTACAATCCTTGAAGCCACTTCTTTTACAAGTTTGTTTATCAAGGAAATATCAATAAGTATTTTATCGCCGATTTTCTTCATTTTATCCTTGTAAGGGAAATTATCCGATGAAAGCATTGATGCTATCTTTTCTTTATATATATTTTTTGGTACACTTACTCAGTGAAGGAGGCACCCGTAATATGTAATTTGTATCTTCCCTTTCTAACGATAAATTCCTTTTTTGACACTCAAAGTCTTGCATAATGTCGAAATAGTCAAACAAGTAATCTTTTTTCATTTTCGCTAACACAGGTCCACCGAATAGTCTAATAAGAAACTGGAAGAACGCTTCATCAACCATGTTTCCTCCCCAGTTTCCACCACTGGCGTGGAATAGTTCCTTTATTTTTCCTCCTAGACATTTTTCATGAACTGCAACATCTGTTGTACCTCCTGAAATATTCAACTTAGAATGTTCTCAAAATAGTGAATAACAGTAGTTTTGATAGGTCTTTTCATTCCCCATAAACGCAGAAAATACCTGAATTAATTTTAAGATGACCCACCCCTACAACTGCAATCCTGCCCTCGTCATTTAAAAATAAAAATACTCTTCATTTAGGCATTAGGTGACTGCAACATCAAATTCACTATGTGCGACCAATTTCTAAACAGGCAAATAATTGACAAACAAGTTGATGAAACATGGCCGATATCAAATGTCTTAATCAACATATCGCAAGATCTTTGATCGACCCAATAACCTTGTTGACGACTTACATACTATCCACTGCTGATTTTTCATACCAATTCTTTTACTAGGTTATTCGTGCACACCCCGAATTGTCGACGGAGCTTTCCTTTATTTCTCGATCATGACAAACAACACACGGCGGGCCTGGCAGGTCGACCTGGGATGTTTAATTAGGCCTATGCCTACATGTCAATCGTTCTCACCTTTGCTGATTTTAATGACTCGAGTTTGCTTTTTTCTATTTGCATTCTAATAGGGGTTCTCAGGGGGAGGGGGTATTCTCGAATTTGAATACGGTACTTGCAAGTAAAAGACAATCTGTGAAAGTTTTTTTTAACAATTTTGAATTGCAACCCGCGTGACAAAGTGGTTAGTATCGAAGCATATTAGGACCGCACATAAAGGAGCTTTAAATTACTTTTAAGTAATTTTTAAAAATGAATCGGTACGGTTTATATATCAATTAATCTAGACTTCGAATGTATTGTCATTGTCATTAAACCTTCGAGGGCGTATGGATATTTATATAGATAAAGTTTTCGTTTCCTTCGAAAATTATTTCAACAAACCTCCAATGTCCACTACCACATACTTTGTACCAACAATCGACTTGGCAAAGTCAGTTGAAACTCTCTCAGTTTTGATATGTTGGCAATATATTGAAGCAGCCTCAGGCTCTAAGGCAATAACCAGATGATCGTCCTGTATTCCAGCCTACAATAGTCAGAAAGTCTAGAGGAGATTACGTTGATTTTGTAGCCATTGTCATGAGCGTTTAATATTACATTAAATAAAACTTTTTACAAAACTGTCCCCTTTTTAAGAAATAAGGATAAGCGGTTTCATTTGCTTTACTGAGTATTCGAAAAATGTATCTTTTTTTAATAATATCTTTTTAATTGTTTTTATTTAGATCGAGTAATGAAGATAAAAGTAGGTTCTGAAATAATTCCATGATCGTGTTTTTCTATGAATCCTTTTTAACATGTCACTAAATTAAATTCATGAAATTAACAAAGCAAAGACAATATTTTCTATTCTTTATAATTATATATTTGAATCGAGTAGCATGGAAAAAGAATTTATATCTTTTCACAGATTGTGACTAGCATGGATTGTAGGTGAAGATCTGAAAACATACCCCATTGGCAGCTAATCTCATGAACTTTTTGGCACTGTCACTCCAAATGGCAGGGACAGTTAAAACATATTGTATTTCATCATCAAGTACTGCTTGGAATTTCTTGATGTTTGCAAGAAAATGTTCTTTCAGGTATTTGATAGCTGCTTGAAAAACAATGAGAGCTTTCATGGGTTTACCGTTTACATCCTCTATGACCATCTTTTCGGTTATCGACTGAAAAATAAATTTAACTTCATATTTATTGAGAAAGAGTTGGAGATCTCTCTCTCTCTCTCTCTCTCTCTCTCTCTCTCTCTCTCTCTCTCTCTCTCTCCAATTATATCCACCTCTTTAAATATATGTTTATGGCTCATGTCATTGGAAGAATACACGAATAGCACGTGTGTATGTTCGTGTGTCTGTTACGTTTTGGGGCACCCATCTCTTATTCGCAACACCTCCTATACCACTGATTGAAATTTAATGAGACAGAATTTTTGTTACATAATGCTATTGTGCACCTTCTATGTTACTTTTTGATCGGACACATATTTTCTATTTCCCATAGCAAACCATAGACACTATACCATTCTTTCTATGATTAATCTCTTTTCCGCATCTCCTCCTATACCACTGAATAAAATTTAATGATACTTTACAGATTTTTCATTAGATAATGCCATTGTGCACCTTCTATTTTACTCTTTGATCTGATACTTATTTCGGTTCTCCCAGAGTAAAACATGGGCTTTACCATTATAATCATATTAGAAGCGAGGTATCATTTAGTGAACTCAGTGTTCACAGTACCTCTAGTTTTTTAGTTTTTGTTTGTTTTTCTGAAATGAAGAGCTCTACGAATAAATATCCTCCACAAATGTTGATATTGCATACTGCTGTGTAATTTTCATCCTTATTTGCAAAATTAATTACCCTAAATACCACACATTCATTTCCTCTTATCACTAAAACTTGATCCAATGATCATACAACAACCCTATCTGAAATCCTTGACAAATATCAAAAATTGAATTCAACACAGATCTGGAGTCGTTTACTTACTTGTAATCATACACACATGGACGAAAAGAGAAATATATTTGTGCGAAACCATTCCGATTAAGCACTTCATAATAAAGAAGAGAGATGATTTGTTGATAGAATGAATTCATGACAATCATAATAGATTCTAATTTTACAGCATGAAATTCATAAAGTGTCCCTTAGGTCTGTTATTTGACAATAAAATTTAATAATTCTGAAAGAATTTAATACATGTACTATAATTAATGATACCATATAACCCCCCATTAGCAGTAAGTCTTGCATTTAAAATCTTCATTAAATTCAATATAGTAGTGTAAACTGAAATTGCTTTAAAAAACATCAGATTTTATACTTAAAATATATTCTATAATCATCTATTTAAATATTACCTTTTCCCCATACAGTTCCATTTTAAACCGTCGAAAGTAAAACCAGTTGTGATGGAAATGTTCTGAAGCTAAAGTCATATATTTATTTTCAGCTTCATACCCAAACGAATCAAACTCCTGTTTTTCATTGAAAAGGACACATGTTGCAGTTTTCCTAAGAATGATGAAAAAAAAAAACTTAAGCCAAAAATTTTGCACAGATGCTCATTATGGATTTATAATGGAATCTAAATATTGTTTTAGATAACCTATAAGAGTTAACAATCTTATATCAATTGTACATTGATAGTCCTTTACTTGCTGGCCACCCTTCGCATGTAAGAATTTTTGTTGGATCCTCATTGAAGTCTGATCGAAGAGAATATGCGTATCCAGAATAAGCTGTTCCGAAATCAAAGGCAGCAGATACCAGAGCATTGGATAATGACATTTTTATTAGTTGGTGCCTATAAATAAAATAAAAAATTGATTTAAACATTGATACATGTATGTACAATTTAAACACTATTACGGTTTTCAGTCTATAAAACTTTCTATCTAGATATCATATTATCGTTGGAGAAATTCGGTACTGAAAATATCTATTAATTCGCATCTTCAACTTTATAAAACTTTCTATCCAGATATCATATTATTGTTGGAGAAATGCAGTACTGAAAATATCTATTCGCATCTTCAAATTTATAAAACTTTCTATCCAGATATCATATTATTGTTGGAGAAATGCAGTACTGACAATATCTATTCGCATCTTCAACTTTATAAAACTTTCTATACAAAAGTAAGACTAACGCACCTCTACAAAGATGACATGTACATGTACGTTGGCTTCCTGTCAGTTTTATGTCTTTATTCAATGATATCTTGCCCAATGACCAACAAGTTGATTGAGCATGGAGTCAAATTTCGAAAATTGGTTATGTAACATAGATCAAACAGTGGCACAATGTTGGTTAAATGATTGCTCAATGCTATTTAACAAAATTTATCATTCAAAAAAAAACATTTAGAAAAAGATTTTATATTGATATCCTATATGAACCGAACTACCAAGCTTTATGATAAACTTAATGTCCTTAAAACGAGATGAAACAAGAATATCAACAGTTTCGTTTGAAGTCATCATTTGGCAATTTTTTTTTTTCGATAAAATAACCTGGTCCGCAAATACAACCTAGCAGTTAGTCCAATACCGCTTTATCATTCTAATTTAATGTCATTAATGAGTTATCGACGGATTTTTCCGTTATTTCCCGATCACAGTTGGTCAGACCGTGATCATGAGATTCTCAGTCTTCCATGGGACCTGATTCCATCTCTGGTGTTTTTGGGGGGCTGTGCTTGTATGCCCTCCATGATGGTGAGCTTATATACACTAATGGTTTTAGCTATAACCAGCATTTACTACATGTACGATGGGCCAACATTTGACCAAGGCTACATATTTCGGACGGATCAGCTATCATGCCAACATAACATCTCTTTGACAAGCGTTGGTCAAACTTTGACTGAACAAGGTCAATACTATATCTTCCTTCCAGCTTACAAAACGATTATCTGATGTAGTCTACCTATCTGGGTTGATAACATAAAACATTACATAGAAAATCTAGCGTTGGGCAGAACCCATCATCGAATTATATGAAATGTACGCCTTTAAAATTCCCGACCAAATTATCATAACGAAGAGAGGGTCAGAACGCCTCTTTCGTATCTAGGTCTAATAAAGCAATTATATTTAGTGACTTCAAAACATATAATTTTGTTATGGAATTTATATCAATTTTTGAAATGGGTTTAGGCACAGATTTTTGTTCTGTTTACATAAGTCTAAAACATTTTGAGCCCAGATTATATTAATCTTTTATTCTTAAATTTAAATAATGCCTATTAAATTAAAATAAAATTAAAACTGATTTAAAACGAAAGTACACGTACTACTACCTCGCTAGTTTATGGAGTCCCTTGCTTGCAGGCATACATATGCATCTCTTAAAGTTTAAATGGGTCTATATTCAATAAACATGATATCAATAAATCTTCACTAGTGTCATTGTTAAAAGAAATGGGTTCATTGCATAAAAGATTTAAATCGCTTCTACTGGCGCAAATATTCCAAAGACCAATACGTGCAGAATTTTTTCAGCTCAAAGAAAAAAATACATTAAAAACATGCACAAAGAGTAACGTTTCTATATTTACAACCATGGGATGTTTTTTTTCCCTTTATTTCTTGCAATTAATCAATTCATAAACGACAGCGAACGAGCCACATGTGTAAATTTCTTGAACAATCATTGTTCCATCAGTTATGCGTACAAGGATATTTATTTATAATAAAATATTCAGCAAGTTTAATTTAACTTTAAATGTTTTTTTTCATACAGATGTAAATATAAACAATATAATGTCTTTGTTAATAAAGGAATGAATGTCGCAGCTATTGCAGAAAAAAATTTCATAACAACTGCGACATTAATTAAGAACATTTGTATGAGTGTAATGCCGAAAAGTTAAATTTTAATTTAAATGATTTTTTTTCATACAGATGTAAATATAACCAATACAATGTCTTTATTAATACGGGAATGAACGTCGCGGCTATTGCAGAAAAAATACTTAACAACTGCGACATTAATTACCGCACTAACAACCAAAGAAAGCATTTTATTATTTTAGTACATCTGTATGAGTGTAATGTCAAAAAGTTAAAAGCACATTAAATTGCTACATACAGGTAACATATGTTATATTCTTTGTGCAATATTTCGTAGGATTTATCCCATAATGTACAATATATTGAATTTTTGTCCTTAGTACAGTCTTTGATATCTAAGTAAATCCAGACTAAATATGAGTGTAGAATTTTTATTCAGTTGTACACATGTTATACACAACCCTGAAAACCTCTAAATCCTGAATCTCGAGTGGGAGGTTACAGCTTGTTTTTCTTCTTCTCATGTAGAAGATTTTATATATATATATATATATATATATATATATATATATATATATATATATATATATATATATATATATATATATATATATATATATATATATATATATATATATATATATATATATATTCTGTCTTAGAGGCATATAGAAAAAGTCGGATAATAAATGATTTCCATTTATTTGATGAAAGGCCCGGTTTCTGAAAACTACATATTTTTATGGTAGAAAATTGAATTTCACATAGAATACTGCTCACCTTCCAGAAATTTAGCATCGAAATATAACACTATGATTTTTTAAAAACTCTTTAAAAACAATTACTCGCAATCAATGAAAGCTTAACTTTTAAAGACAATCAGCCACTTATTAAATGTGATCCTTCATTGATGAGCAGATTTTATTAAACTTTAAACTCTTCTACATTGACAAGAAGAAACACTTACTGTGGCTTTCATAATATGATGTTTAATCAATACACTCCCATTTTTATATCAATTTTTTCATAATATTATTTTGGTGAATTCTATATAAAGGGTTTTTCGACATCTTTTTCACTTTGGGATATCTTAATCGTATGGCAATAATAGTAACCTTAATTGGAAATATAGCATAACATTGGGTAATTTTGACTGATATATTTCATACTGTCCTTTTTAACGTATTTTTTTTTTTATCAAATAAAATCTGCAACATAAAATAGTCATGTTGCAGATTTTATTTGATAAATTAAATGGGTCAGAAAGGACAATACCAATTACATAATTTTATATATAGATTGACTAGGAGTATTTCTTCTCCCTTTCAGGCTGTTCACGGTAGCCTAGTGGTAGAGCGTTCGCTTCGTAATCTGGAGGCCCGGGTTTGATTCTCGATCCCGGCGCCGTGTCAAACCTAAGACGTAAACAAGTTTATCTTTTAAAAAGATAGGTGAGCTAGCGCCGTAGCAATTTTTAAACACAGAAAGGAAGATCCGTGATCAAGTGATTTATTTTGCTGAATTCTTTAATTTTTATCGAGGCTGGAGAGTGATAAAGTTATTATTGTTTTGTGAAGCGTATTTTATAGACACATATGTAAAGAAACAAGGGGGTGGGTGACGTTTACTGGAGAGGGCCAGGGGGGTCTATATAATATGAAGAAGATGCTGATTGAGACATTGCATGTATGAGCTGATTTAAAGAAGAGAATTTCTTGGCAATTTAGAAAAAAATACATGGGAGTTGAAAGGAATATAGAAAATAACTCAAAGTGTATGTTGTGTAAAGAGTCCAGAGAGTTTGGAAGGCATGTGAAGTAGCTTGGTCCTTTGGGTCATCTTTGTCAAGATATGTTAGGTTAAAAGCCATACACATCCGAATTTTTTAAACACAAATAGTGGATTTATTCGTTATTTTTAGTGTAAATTCTTGCTTCTGTTTCTGGAATTTGTAAGATTGGCTGAATTGACCAATCAGAAATTAAAATCTATCTTTGGTTGTGCTTAGATATTAAAAAAAACTCCCTTGTCATTGTTTAGAACAATCAGATGATGACTCGGGCTTTTCCGTCAGCAAAAAAATCCAGAATTTGAAATATTATAAATATGAAGTTATCTTTAAAGTGTACATGGTGTAAGCTACACAATAAATAAACAGTTATTTCATGCTAGAACATGATACAACGAAATTGTTATCGTACGGTCTATCGTAGTTTTCACAGTTTTCCCTAGTCTCGTTCAACCAGACCCTCGGCTGTCTCCGTAAATCTCCGACCACCCAGAGGATGCTTGTCGGAGTTTACGGAGACAGCCGAGCGTCTGGTTGAGTGAGACTTAGTTTTCCCAGAATGCACGGCCATGGCGGCCGAGCATGCGTATTCAAGGAATTCGGACTAACGTAGTTGCTAGCGCTCGAGAGCGCTAGCAAAAAGGTAGTGACTGTTCCTTCGCCAAGCGCTTGGCATCAGAAGTGAAAGTCACGAGTCTTTCGGATATGACCTTAAAAAACGTAGGTCCCGTGTCATGGTAGGCGCTGGCACGATAAAGAACCCTCATTGCTCAATGGCCCTAAGTGCCGAGTATGGGTCTAAATTTGAAGCCCAAATTCACTGGGATTCGGTGACGTCTCCATATGAGTGAAAATTTCTCAAGAGGGGCGTAAAGCAATATACAATCAATCAATCAATCTACCTTTCACATGCAGCTTGATGTCATGATTCGGTCGGTAACTTCTGTTTATTGGTTATCTGATACTATATTGTTGCAAAACGCATGTATTTTCAATTTTAAAAATAAAAAATAAATGGTCTGGTTGAATAAAATGTTCTTGAACTTGATCGCCTTATTCGACGTCCCTTAACTTCCTAGTCAAACGAGGGAAATATGTTCCGTAAACATTGCCATAAAAGAGGCTTCTTTTCTTTTGCAGAAATACAATATTATAAATGGTTTTATATAACTTCTATTCAGAAGAATTGTTTAAAAGACAGAACATTGATAGCTAACAAGGAAGTCGGAAGCTTTTCTTTGGAAAATACCCCTTCTCAACGAATCATGCAAACCGGTCATTTCCTTATGGGTACTTTATATTTCGCCTAATATATTTTGCTAGTTCTTTTTTATTGAATATTTTTATGCTCACCTAAAGAAATTATTTGTTTCATCTGACTTCTTACGCAGACTTTATGCACTCCAGGAATTAACTGCGCTAAAAGATTTACTTCATTTAATGCAAACGTACATTTCTATTTTGATTATGGTCGTAACATTTACAGTACTGAAAGCTTGGCAAATATTAAGAGAAAAATAGGTATATATTGGATCTTTTCTATACTGTATACATATAAAGTTCCTCATTGCATTCTTTTTTTTTCTAGATAAAAAAGATGGGATAAAAACAAATTTTGAATTCAAATATTAAACTAACTTTTAAGTGTAAGTTTTGAAAATCTAAATTTTCCACACGCACTTAAAAACGCTGCTTACGTTTTTTTTTTTATGAATATGCAAATGATTGAGGAAATATTTCAAACTTTGCGGAAATCACAAATTTTGTCGGGTACCATACCTGGTTTGGAAGGCACGGGGCGAAGACATGTTATTTTTAGTCTATTTATCTGTTATTGCGATATTAACTGAAGCATGCGACCAACCAATGTGTTCGCTACAGGTAAGGCATTTTATATTTGATAACATGCAAACTACTTATCTTTTTTATAATGATGCACAAGCTTTTGCAAAAATACATTTTTATACAAATGAAGAAATATTGCTGCTAATGCTGTGAATACAAACTAGTAAAAAAAAATGAAGTATTAAAAACTTTGCTAAGAGAGTTGATAAAGTGTTCAAAATTTATAAGCATTGCAAATCCTAAAAATATTCTAAATGCATAAAATACTAGAATGCAAAGTTGAATTCCCAGAGTAAAAATAGCCCATTGTCTGCATAAAACAAATCCCATATATTGTGCGCAATTGTTTTTGACAAGAAGTAGGAAAACTCTAGTCTGGAATACCCCAGAAATGATAGCGTCGCTTGTGTTTTCTTACGGTAGCCCAAACTTGTCATTTTTTACTTTTTAAAAAAAGAAAAAATGTTACAATGTACTTACGATAAGAATAATTGAAATACGATTGTAATAAATTCGTCTTTTCTTTCAATTAGACATATACTCGGCTGTGGTGTAAAGGGTGATTGAAAAGCATAATTATATTGTATTCTAATTAATAATATACCAGTTTCTTTAGACAAAAGGCTTAGAAGCTTGCATTTGTAAATATTTACTTAAACTTTTACTTAAACTTTTACAGAAGATATTTTTGAATTTTTTTCATTTTTGAGCCAAACGGCAAAAGTATATTTTTCTGTTCTGACACAATTTTTTTTAATACTCAAAATTCAACTGATTATCGTATTAAAATACAAATGACAGTAATTGGCCACTATACAGAGGTTTATTTGTTATCTGAACAAGGAAATTTAAACTATTAATTTCCTGCTCCCATTCGTTGGTTGCACAGGTAAATTTCAATAACTTCCCTGTGCGTGCAGAAGTAAACATTATTGTCGGCGATGCAATTTGATATCTGGGTCATTGAAGGTGTAGAATAAAAAAAAGACCATATTTCTTTAACTTTGGCATTATTTTTTTACGAAACATCAAATCATATGCCGGTGTCAGATGGTAAACTGAGACTACACAACAGAAATCATCCACTTTTACGATAGCGTACGCCTGTCCCCATTGAAATTATTCAATAGTAATTATACTGCATTATAAGTTTGACCTGTTAGGATTTTAGTCGAATGCTGCATAACATTTAGAATAGGAATTTTTTTTAAATCAAAAGGTTAATTTAAATTTATTAATTAACTTTCTTTTTATAACTTTTTTAATGATGATCTATTATCATATATAGCAAATGTTCAGGAAGAGATGATTTTAATTTTTGTGTTGCCAAGGGGAATGTTTGTATATTTAAGATCAAACTTGTAATGAATTATTCTACAGATGAATATCTTCCATAAAGTAGACTTTTTAAAGAGAAGGTAACTGTAAATCCCCATATTATTGTGGTGTCAATTGTTTTAGGTTTTGTGGAAAAATATTGATTTGTGGGGATTTGATTTCGTGGTTAGAGATTGTATAGTAGTAATGCATTTGACATTTTAAATTTCATAGTGGTCATGAATTCATGGGCCTCACCATGCCTTGCAAAACAACGAAAATTAAACCCCCACAAAAATAAGTGATTTCACAGTAATTTATATATTATAAATATTCCGGGAATCTGTCTGTTTTGAGGAAGAATTACAATACGACACCGATACTCTAGCTAAAAAATTTTTTTAAAACAATTGTATCGAATATCTGAAACGATAGACTTTGTGATGATCTTTGTTATGAACAAAATACAGTGCACTGAGTTCTCAGTGCTATATATACATTGTATTCCTTTACATATTGATAGTTTAATTTCATACTATGTAATGGCTTCTATATATTTTTCTTTTACATGTACATAGAATTTACCTTTATACTTTGTTATTATGACCTTCTTATTTCAGAATTTTGCTGATGCACTGTGCAACGTAAAGACGAAAGGTATTTTATCTTTTTAACTTAAATATATTTTAGCATGTTCTTAAATATTTTTGGAATTAACTGAATTTATGACTAAAGGATTATGATAATTAAAGTATTATGTCAAAACTCAAGCAAATGAACTAAGGTAATGATAATATCACATAAAGAGTTCCCAATGCCATCTAATTTAATACATGAAATATATATATATAGCTTTTTTTAATTACAAGAAAACAGATTCATTGATTTTAAATTTTATATGAAAGTAAAAGCGATTTCGAAATATACTTTTTTGTTAATTACCTTTTTATTAAAATCAAAATAATTTTCTTCTTCTACAGAAGCAAATGACGTTGAATATAAGTTATGTAGCGATGGCGTAAAAATTCAACACTACAGTTTGACTGGATCTATGCCTCAACATTCATACACAAATGGAACATTTCTAATACATGTCACAAAAGGTAAGATATCCAGAATAAAAAAAAAAAATCAAATAAACAATAGACTAAATAAACAATATAAGCATATTTTCAAATTTACTTTTGAAATATAGTGAAGGTGAAGCCATATTCGTTGGCCTTCATTTTCTTAACTCAGTCGTTACTACCTTAAAAAGTTTTTACAAATCCAGAAAAAAAAATAGATATTTTCAAATTTTGTTTTAGAGATTTTGAGTAATATTCTTCCAAATATAAACAATGATAAATGAAAGAAAAGACTCGCTCATTACAAATATACGTGACAAAAACTGGTTCAGTGTATAGTACAGAAATTCAAAGTTCAAAAAATAATACGTTGAAAATTATTTTTCACATGTATGAATTTGATTTATTTTAGCAGGAAAAATTAAGTTTAATGTTCAGAAAATAAACCAAATACGGCTTCTCAAAACAATTTGTGTGAATTAAAAGAGACATTCAAATCATATAATTTGAAAGATTTCTTATTTTTCTTAATTACTCATCTTCAGGCGAAAGAAGACACAAATACAGAGCGCTCATGATAGAAGTCAAGCAAAAAGGACAAAGCAAATTAAGACATTATATCCACATACAAAAGAGGAAGGTTAGTGTTTGAAGTGTTAGCTTTGTGAATGCTGTAAATACCATTGTGAAATCACTGATTATTGGAGGGGAGAGAGGAGTATATTTTCGTTGATTTAATGACGTTCTCATCATATACAATCCAGCATAAAGACAAATGATGACTAAGATTTCTCTTACATATTGTTAGGTCATCCATGTACATGCTAAATTGTTTACGGATTTTTTCGTTTTTCCAAATCATGTGAAGGAGCACATTGCATGAGATCTGATCTCTGATGTATTAGTTTAAATGTTCTAATCCTGAATTGCATTGTTTGAATGGACTTATGAGCTTTAAAGCCATATATGGCGTAAGTGATCAAAAATTTTTTTTTGAAATATAGTTAATACATTTAAATTAAAGCTTTTCATACAATTCTGAACGCGGAGGACACCTCGTTTCATCTAATAATACGATTTTATCTTCTCTGTAATGTGTTATTTAAATCTTTTGTATTTTCTTCCGAGTCGGAGAAAATTCCGAGAATCCAAATTAAACTGTGATATCTTTATAACGCAATTGACTTAGATTTTGTAATTTACGGAAAAGTTCTATCTTTATATAAAGAAATGATACAAATGATAAGTTCTTATAATTTTAGTCTAATAATTTTCATTGTTCATACGCCATATATGGCTTTAATACTGTTCGTTTTATCCAACTTTCATTTTAAGATATATATGGAGACCCAACAATTCATGTCCATCACAAAATATAAAATTTTATATGTATCACTATTGAACACTTCTCCAACCAAGACATCAAATTCCTACAATCCGATATTTTCATCCTAGAAACTTGAAAATTTAACATTACGAAAATGTGTGATTTTACATTTCATGTCAAAATTATAACGGCAAGGGATAATAGGATTTCTTTTTCATTTATTTAAAAAAAAAGAATATTCATTATTGCAACGCATTGCAATTTTTAATTCTAGGGAATGTTGAAAGACTTCATTAAAGTGAATCTGTCTTGTTTGTCAATATCCACACGAATTACGTCTGTCAGAATTGCGGGCGAATTGAATCATTTGAAGAGGAATAATTGTAAGCCAAAGTACAGGAGATTTCAACACCTATCTCTAGATCTAAATCAGAATGAAGGAACAACCATTTTACCTCATTCCAAAATGCAACAAAGGCATGGTACTACAAACAGAATGAAGAGAAGCAAACATGAGGGAATAAAGAATGGTAAGCATAAATTTGATTTCTATGTAATAAATACTTGATATGTGTTGCAGCTTGTTATCTATCGTTTTTAATTTTACAACTTTGCATTGTTTTTCTTCATCTTACAGAAAATTGCATTGTGGATGTAAAAAATAGAACTGTTAAATTTTACTGGAAAAAACAAGAAAATGCAAAGATCATATGGTGTGGCATCATAAGTTCTAGAATAATAATGATAGAAGGAAATGTGTCTGAACGTGATGGGGTAAGTACTAACTTATTTTATAAAAGACCAAAATATACGTGTATATAATATTTAATTTTTTAATTGGTGTATATATCACATATATTACATTTGATATTATAACTATTTACATGTAGTACTTCTCCAAATTAATTACATTTTCGTATGCCTCACTTTGCGTCGTCATTCACACTACATTTAAATTGATCGAAGTATATGTAGCTATACAAAATTCTAGCCAACAAAAACTGGTCTTAAAGGGGCTGGGACACAGATTTGAAGCTTATTTTCTGAAATTTTCTAAATAATATCATGAATTATAATTTAGAGCCTTTTTACACTGAAATATATTTAAAGCGTGCATAGAATTTTTTTCTGGATATTATTAAATCCTCGAATTTTGCGACGCGTGTGATTGACATTCACAAAGTAGACTTTATACATAATACTTAAAAATAGAAATTTTGTTATGTATTAATGAAAAAAGGGAAATTATAATCCAGAAAATTTAGAGTAGAATTACTGTAAAGCAAAAGTAGCTAGTATTTCCAGTCTGTTCAAGATATGTTTGAAATTAATTACAGATCGAAAACAATAATATCGGTTTTGTTTTGTAGATAATTTATTGCATCACAAAATATACGATCACAGAAAACTATTCCACCAGGGTAAGATAAACCTTCTCTTGTGACTTGATTTTTAGAGGAAAAGGTTATTGAAAGAGAACCAGAAGAAAATTCCATTTCCTTTTTTCCTTTGATTTTTATTTAATTGTACTTATTATTTTAAATTTAATTTTCATTTTAGATCTATTATAGACAGAATGGTCACATGTACAACGCTAGTCCATGCCAGTTTTCAACAGAGATCCTAGAATTTAAAAGTAAGTACAAAATAAATTCATAAGACCTTCAGGTACATTGGAGAATGGAAATAAAATATTAATTTCAGTCATCTCAAACAAGATGTGTACAATAATATATATATATATATATATATATATATATATATATATATATATATATATATATATATATATATATATATATATACCAAATCAAATACGTAGCATTTTTCAGCTAAATTTTCATGCACGGCTAACACTTCAATGCTAAAAATGGAGATGACGAATCGGGGGATGCCGAGATTTGATTATAAATCAATTATTAACGTAGACCTTTGATGTAGCTTGCATGATACATGCTCCTTTTTTCTCAAAACAGAACAAACTAAAATTAAATAAGAAGCTTTAATTTACCTCTCTCTCTCTCTCTCTATCTCTCTCTCTCTCTCTCTCTCTCTTGAATATGAATAAATTAATGTTTTGTACTACGAAATATGCAAAATGACTTTGCAAAAGCCTTATACATAAATTGTCCGATTTTTATTAATTATAAAAATGTGTTACTCAAACTTAAATCATAGTAAACATTTCGACAAAGTGTACGGACATTAGGTCTAGTGCTTCACTTGACTACAATCATACAACTCCGCCTCTGTCAGGTGAATGTATTTCATTCAAACGTAATAAACAACTGATGAAAATCAGAACGATGACATAATATGCAAAATGATTTTGCCAAAGTCTAATATATAAATTTCTTTTTTATTAAATCTTAAAATATGTTAGTCAAACCTAAATATATGTAATAGTAAACATTTTGATATAGCGGAAGACCATTGGACCACAAAGTATACGGAGATTAGTTCTAGTGCTTCACTTGACTACAGTCTTACAGCTCCGCTTCTGTCAGGTGAATGCATATCATTTTAAACGTAATCTAACGTAATAAATAAACCACGAACAAAACTCAGAAGTATGAAAAATATGCAAAATGATTTTGACAAAGCCTAATACATAAATTGTCTACTTTTTATTTACTCACCTGCGCCAAAGGCTCATATGAGCTTTTCTGATCAAAATTTCCCCGTTGTCTGTCGTCGTCGCTGTCGTAAACTTTTCACGTTTTCATCTTCTTCTCAAGAAACACTGGATCAATTTCAACCAAACGTGCCACAAAGTATTCTAAGTTGAAGGGGATATTTGTTCAAATCATGACCACCGGGGGTAGGGTGGGGTCATAATAGACGATCAAAGTTTTATATAGGAATATTTAGGAAAATTATTCAAAAATCCTCAAGAACGGCAAAGCCCTAATTGGTCATATTTATGTGAAAACATTCTCTCAGTTCCTGAAAATTCAACTTTGTTCAAATCATGACCCCCTGGGGTAGGGTTGGGCCACAATGGACGATAAAAGTTTTACAAAGGAGTATATTAGAAAAAATCTTCTCCTCAAGAACAGCAAAGCTATGTTTTTTCATATTCATATGGAAGCATCCTCATCCTCAGTTTGTGTATATAGATTCAATTTTTTTTTTCAAATCATGACCCCCGGGGGTAGAAAAATCTTTAAAAATCTTCTCAAGAACAGCAAAGCCAGGGTTGGTCATATTCATATGGAAGCATCCTCAGATAGTGTAGATTCAAGTTTGTTCTACTCATGACCCCCAGTGGTAGGGTTGGGCCATTTTTTGAAAATTCAAACTTGTAACAAAAAATCACAATCAAACAAACAAAAAATATGTAAGCATCCTTAGTAAGTGTAGTTTCAATTTTGTTCAAATCACTCTCCCTCTCCCTTTCAGGGTTGGGTTTGAACCAGTTAAGCATTTAAGCTTTTCAATACTAAACTGATTTGTCGCCTTTTTCCAGCCAAAACTCGGGTGAGCGTTGTTGCCCCTGGGCCTCTTGTTTATTTAAAAAATATGTTACTCAAACTTAAATCATAGTAAAAATTTCGATATAGAGGAAGACCTTTGGACCACAAAGTATACGAAGATTAGTTCTAGTGCTTCATTTGACTACAGTCATACAGCTCCGCCTCTGTCAGGTGAATGCATATCATCTAAACCTAATAAATAAACCCCTGATTAAACTCAGAACGATGAAATGATATGCAAAATGATTTTTCCAAAGCCTAAAACATTAATTGTCTACTTTTTATTAAATTTTAAATTATGTTACTCAAACTTGAATAATAGTAGATCTAAACATTTCGATATAGCGGAAGACCAAAGGACCACAAAGTATACCAAGATTAGTTCTAGTGCTTCATTTGACTACAGTCATACTGTAACAGCTCTGCCCCTGTTAGGTGAATACATATCATCTAAACCTAATAAATAATTAAAACACTGACGAAATTCAGAACAATGAAATAAATCCTAAGTAAGTAACTATAAACATCAACTCAAATCAGAAATTGATATAAAGCAGATTTTAAAAACTAAATTCACGAATCTGTTTTAAATTTTGCAAAACTGCCTTTTTTCATTATGCAACCATCGTGTTTTCTAACCATCATTAGTGGTATTACAGTAGTAGTTATAAAATTTTATTATTTATTGTCAAATAACAATCATTTACTAGAACTGCTTCATACCACCTCTTCACATGAAAACATTTAATTTATATATCAGAGATATTTCTATAGCCTTTTTTGCTTTTTATTTCTTTAATATATAGTGTTCTTAGTTACTCTCTATCTGTTCAAGTTTTTTTTATGAAGAAATCAAAGTTTAACGGGTATTAAATTTCATTCACTTCGAATAAAAATTACACATTATTGTATTGATGTAAGGAAATAGGAATATCCAGAATTAAAGCTTGAAATCAACTTAAAATTTTTACATTTTACATTTCAAATTGTTCGGCATTTATCAAGGAATTATATATAAATTCATCTGCTTTAATGATATTTGAGACAAGAATTTCCCTCAATCATTTTTTTAATTTGAACATGTATTTTTATTCTGTAGCAAGTCCTGAAATTGCGGCTCTTACCGAAAGAAATAACGATTCCACGGATGTCATCTTGATAACTGTTCTAGCATTTCTAATACTTGGAGTAGCTCTTTTACTGTTAGCCATAGTTTTCCTCATTCGTAGAAGGAAAAAGCTTCAGAGAATCCCAGGTATTTTATCATTTATTTCAATTTTCTGTTCATATGCCTTTTTTTTCATCCTCCCACCCTCCGTTGTAATCTAAAGAAGAAAAAAACGTTTTGTTTTACGTCAAACAGAATTATATTATTTTAATATCAGTAATTTTAAACGATTAAGAATTTTAGAATTATCATAAGACTTAGAGTAAATTGTAAAATATCGCAGCAGCTAGAGAGATTATTTATATTTGTTTTCTTAAATATTTTATTTGGAACAAACCTATAAATTTAAATATAAAAATAAAATAAACGTATTATAAATTTGACTTGCAAATCTCTTTAAAGCAAGAATTAATTAAATTAATCATGATTCTGAGACTTACAGCTTATCCATGATTTCTGAAAATTTAAACGAGGTTATGAACACATAAAATTTTAATCATTATTTTTTATGTAAATGTATTTTTAATCAATCTTAAAACACTATACAATTGTTATGTATTTATCATGTTTATATGCCAATTTTCTTACAGAAGTCTGATACATTTATTTATCGTTTGTATTTCAAGTAAAAAAGAATTATCATTCCAATATTTTGTACTTTTTCCCATTGCAGAACCGTATCCATACGAGAGAACAGACATGGCAGGTAAACCTCTTATTCTCTATAACTATATTTTTGTTAAATATTGTGTTAAAAAATGCTAGAAGTGTTAGAGGTATTATATTTAATAATTTCAATGAAACCAATAAACACTATCTTTTAACAACTAAACGAAAAGACTATACAGGCTTATTTAGAAAACGAGCAGCTGCTTTCATAAAGCAAAACAATTATCAATATGCTGTACTTTATAATATTTGTTAGGATACTGCAGCAAAATTCATTTAAAAGAATCGGGGATGTCTATTCTTTCAAGAACAAAATTTAAACTTATTCGTCTCTCACAAAAAAAAGTCAAGTGTTTTTTTAATATTCAAAAGGATTACCTAACCTTTAATGCAATGTTGATGTACGTGTGCTGGCTAGTGATCTATTTTCATTGATTTTATTTCATTGTTTTTTAAATTGTAGAATCGTCTGAAGCAACAGCCATGATAATAACTATTGACGAATACAGCAGAGACATTTCCCAGCTGACTAGTCTACTGCAAAGTCGGAAAATAAAGGTTGTAACTGCAGAGTCCTCCTCTCTGGAAAATTTGAAGAGCTGTCACGACTGGTTGGAGAAAACAGTGTCCAAAAGCAACCATTACATCTTTATCGTAAACAAACAAATGGATGAAATATTGTTCAAAGCAAAATTTAATGAACCACTGAAAGAAAAGACGGAAATTTCAAGTAATTGGTCGACAGAGTATGAGGGTGGGGCATGCGCATATACGATAGTTCTGATTAGAAATGAATTCATTAGAAGCTTGACCAATTCCGGAAGTTCACGCAAATCTTGTCATCTTGTGAGTTTTGAGGAAGATGATGAAATGATCGTATCAGATCTGAAGCACAAATTCAGTTTATTTCAGTGCATCAAGACACACTGCTACAACCTGTACTCTAACAAGCAATTCAAATATAATGCAGCATGCCGTATAATAAACAATATCAAGAAAACAGAAAAATCGAGAGACTGCAAGGCTGCTCATCAAATCTCATCGGACAATCATAAGCAGACAGTAAATGACTTGGATATCGAAAGTGCCTTTTTATCTGTAAATATTTCTTCAAAGCATTGCTTCATTCCTCTATCCACGACTGATGACACGGATTCAGAATCAGATCTTGATATCACAAGTGATTTGTTGGAAAAATAGACCTAGAATAGACCTAAGTTAAGAACATCTTATTAAACTAACTGGGGAAAATCTAGTGTTTCGATGTCACGTGTTAAGAACTATTATTTTAATAGGTATTAAGTGACTTGTGGAGTTAATTAATATACAAGTTAACTTTTTTTTATTGTTTGATATTTTAAAACCCTATATCTTGTTATCTTTTATGTTGATCTTTTGTATTGTTTCGTAGCATTTTTACTGTAATGTGAATAGGCCTATTCATTTTTAAGTTCGATTCTTGATGTATCACCTGCTGCTATATCAGCACAACATTTAGTTCAATCCTGTCTGGATTTAAAACAAAACTTTTGCTTATTATAAATTAACCATTAACAATTAAATTGTTTTGTTTCACTTGGTTTTGCAAAAGCAATTACACATGTAGTATTGTACATTTGTTTTAATAGATATCATGTATGTACTTAAGTATGACAGAGAGATGTCTAGTCAATCCAACATAAAAAGTGCAGCTTACATTTTATATCCTAATAAAGTAACATGCATTAAGCCTGCTGTATTATTACAACAGTTTACAATTTATTTTATTTTTGAAACAGAAATACGCATACAGTTTAACTGAGCGTTGCCTAATCCATGTCTCTGATTTATTATTCAATTTTTTTAAATTATGATCGTTGCTTCGAAATTAACTAGTCAGTAAATGAAAAATAAATAATTAATAATATACTTGAATTATACACAGTTATATGTCTCCGGGAATAGATATACGTATTGGTGTATCCCCAAACACAGGTCTCAATTAACAAATCTCGTCAGAAATACAATTTATATTATTTAAATTAACACACTCTTTAAACTTGCTTTTCACTTTTTAAACTTTTTATTTTTTTCTTAATGTTTTATACAATAATTTTAGATTTGTCTTGTATGTATCAATAATAACAATTTATTTAATATCATACAAATTTTTATTTCCATGATGTTTTTTTTAATACTGCCTAATACATGTATTCTTAGTTACATGTAATGAAGTGTATTTGTTTATGGTTATTTATTTTTAACAAACATGATGAACATAGATTTTTTTTGCTGTTTTTGCTTAATTTTATATTATACCTTTTCTTTACAATATGTTGCAAATTTTACTGTGTTCTGTTTTGTATATATCCCTTTATATACTAGTATAAAATGATTTTTCAAACTGTGTTCACTTTTTGCAATTGATGAGTTGATGATGTGTTCTGAAGTATAAGATTGTTGGTTTTTCTTTCATCATTTATTTATTGCTTATTTCTTTTACAACTTCAATTGTGTTCAAAGTGATTGATATGCTGTTAATTGTTGAATTACATGCATAGGTATTCTAAATACTATCATTTGCATCGTTACTGCATTTTACTTTATAAAAGTTCTCAATGTATATACGAGGGGTATTTGAAAAATAATGAATATTTATTTGCTGTATTCTATTCAACAAAATTATCACAGATTCAGCTCATCACAGTCCTTCAAAATACTCTCCTTTCACTTTTATACATTTTTTCAGTCTTTGAATCCATTTCTGAAAAGCCGATTTATAGGCCGATTTAGGGATACCCTTTAGACACTGGTATAGCGCACTGCCTACAGCCTGGCGGCTTTCAAATCTTCGTCCTCTTAAGGCATCCTTGATCAGTGGATTCAGCCAAAAGTCACAAGGGGATAGGTCAGGGCTGTATGGAAGATGCGGTAAAGTTTTAATGCTCATCTCTGTCATATATTCGGTAACAATCGAGGCTTTGTGGGCTGGTGCGTTATCATGCAGTAAATGTATACCACGGGTTCCAGTGCGAGGGCGGGTCTCTTTATAGTGTGACACAACTTTGGTTAACACTTTTTCTTTGTAGAATTTAGCAGTGACACTGGTAGACTCTGGGACAGGAATTTGTACCACGGGTCCCTTCGAATCAAAGAAAATAGCATACATAACTTTCCGCACTGTGCGGCCATGCCGTGCAATCTGTGGCCTGTCCTTGACATCAGTCACCCAAACTTTATTGTTTCGTTTTATTTCTGGTTCGAAAAAGAAAATCCATGTTTCGTCACCTGTGACAATTTCGTTTAAACGCCTGAAATCGCAATGTTCATATTTTTCTAATAACTGCCGACAAATTTCTACCCGTACCCTCTTCTGCTCATCCGTCAGAATATGGGGGACCCATCGAGCACAAACTTTTTTCAACATTAGTCTGTGTTTTAATATTTCAAATACTGCTGACGAATTGATCCCAGTGAAAGATGAAATGTCATTAACGGTGTATCTTGCATCAGTTTCAATGATCTGTTTCACAGTGTCAATTTCATTTTTGGTGATGGCAGATGCAGGTCTTCCACTACGAGGGTCATCTGCAAGCGTCTGCCGACCGTCTTGAAGTCGACGTACCCATCTCAGAACAGTTGGATAGGAGAGCGCAGAAGGTCCATAAACTCTGTTCAAATCAGCTTTAATTTCTGTCGGGGCATAACCGAGAAGCGCCCTTGCTTTACAGTATGCCCTTTGCTCTAAATGTTTTGGAACTTCACTTGCCATTGTTTCGTGCTAAAGTGTCGCAGACGTCGTTTATGTCACATGTCAAGATCTCGGGTTTGCGTTATCTAAAAAAAATCAATTTATAAACATTTTGTAGAAAATTGATTAAATTTTAATTTTCTTCAATCAATTTTCCTTAAAAATTATGTTTAACATTTTTTATTATCTAATATTCATTAATTTCCAAATGCCCCTCGTATAATTCTTTTTCTCAGAATCTTTAATCAACAACAATGTTGTTTATTATCATCTATGATGTAACTTTATGCTTATCTTTTTAATTATAAATTTATTATAAGTTTTGTCTCTTTTACATGTTTTCTAAACATTAAAATCTATTGTTCAAAAACAATGATATGGGTAAATTATAATCAAGGATAATATGAGGTAAAAAAGGATTGTGAAAGAGAACAATGCAACAGAGACATATATGTCAACATCTATAAGATTATATATCTAAGGTAAAACACCATACTATATCATAGTTTACGCTTAATTTAATAGGAAACATGAAACATATGTAGATAACAAACAAAACATCAGAGGTGAGATCTGGTGCCATATAGGAGTGAGCATCCCCTGCCGACCGGTCACACTCGCCGTGTGCATCTTGTAATGATCGGGAAATAACGGAAAAATCTGTCGTAAATTCAGTGTATAGTTAATGGACTACTCGGTTTCTCGTTTGTATAAAATTTTAACTTAAACATGTTTAAATCAACATGCAGGAAAAACGTAAAGTACCATATTCAGTTATGACCAATATTTGCCAACAAAATAAGACTTTGATGGAGAAATATATAATTCTGCTCTAAAACAGGGGAAACCTGCAGACTTCAAAGCACTGAATATTTCCATAAATCACGACGGCATATATGTTTGATATCAGAAAAATGACGTTTATTTCAATTTTTATGATTTCTACAGAAAAAGGTATATTACATCGATATTTTGAGTTAAAGTCACTGGGCGCAGGTTTGCTCTAGCTCAATATTTTGATTTAATATGTTGAATGATAGTATCAATGATATGTTTAAATATTGCTCTAAAGCAGACCTGCGCTCTATAATTTTGATTGAAAAAATTGAGCAAATTTTGGCAATTTTTTCCTCTTTCTGAATAATAATTCAAAATTCGAATACTTTGTGACGTCATGAAAACAAAAATTGTCAATAACCTACTTAAAAAAATATTATACGTTTTGTTAATTTAGATTTCTCATACAATTTATACAATTCATTTCAAGAGTGCATTTCAAGAAAGATTTGAAAGATTTTCAAAATATGACTTTTGATGGGGGAAAAATATGCAATTTGCCAAATACGAGGGTTGTCCAAAAAGTTCGTGGACAGTGACGTTTTTGTTAAATGAATGGTTCTGTATAATTCTACTGTATATGAAAATATTTCTTATGATAAACCAAGTCAGAATAATTTAATTTTTATTGATGAAAGTTAATATTTTTGCAAAAAATTGGGGTCTTTAAAAGTTCCAGATAGTGCGCACGGACCAGTGTGACGTTAAGCTAATTTCATTATACGAGGGGCGTTCAATAAATAATGTCATTGGGGCTCAGAAAGAAGCAAGCGACGCTTTTCAATGATTTTAGTCTTCATGATTTTACTTATTAATCTATTTTAATTCAAACACATGTCCGTAACATTTTTTATCCAATTTCTGATTGTTTTTAGAACTATTTTTGGGTATGACCCTTAGTATACTGGAAAATGGCAGATCCAATGATTTCCTGGACTTGTTTTTTCCTTCTGAAAGGTGTTTTATTCGAGTTTGGAAATAGAAACAAGTCAAAAGGTCAAAGATCTGGCAAATATTGTTAATGTGAAAAAACATGAACTTTCTGTTTATCCCGTAAACCCCTTTACTCTTTAGGGCATGCGGGTTTAAACGCTGTCATGAAGAAATTCAGTGTAGTGGATTCCTAATTCTGGGTCCTTTCTCTGATAAACCTTTCGATCTCTTTGCAAAAAAACTGCTTTCTAGACACCTCCAGATATTAAACTGTCTCCCCGAATACGAATTTGAACAATAATACCACTAATATTTAAGAAAATTGCATATAAATCTGTTTTTGTGCTCTTGCATACCTTTGCTCTTGACAGACCTTCGCCGTTTTTATCAAGTACATCTTATGGTAAATTTTGTTTTAATGGTTTTAAGCAATAGATTCATGTTCCAATATCTGTTTGAATATAAAACAAACGTGGATTGCTACAATTACTGATATTTTAAAATAATTGTTAAGACTTTTGTACACGCTGTCGTTTTCACTCATTTTTCAAAATACAGGGTGACCTTAGAGTACCAAGCTTTTTTACAGTCAAACGTTTCTTAAAAACAGTGTAAAATTCTCCCGATATGATGTCTATCAAATTTGCTATGTGTCTTAAAGTCAATCATACAACATCAAATATTATTTGTTGAAATTTGGCAAACAGTACATAAGTTGTTATAATTTTTGTTGGCAAGGAGGGTACCCATTTTTGATGCCCATTATATAATTTTTTATCTTTGAAATCCACCTGCTAATTTGTCTATAAAACAGGCATCGGTTGCTGTAAATGTCACATATTTCAGTGAATATTTCTTTGTGATTTTTAACCAGTTTTACAGCAGCTTTAATGTAGCTTTTATTTTCACTCTAGTTAACTGATTCTTTACCATTCATTTATAATGCAGTGTCTCGAATAGCCCTTGTTTCCCAGCTTCTCACGATAAAACTATGTGATGAAAAGTGGTCACATAAACTGTTATAAATTCATTAAAGATTCAATAATGAGAGAAAGTCAAGCTTTATGTTATATGACTCATATGTTGTATGTCATCGAGCTAATGACATTATTTATTGAACGCCCCTCGTAACGTCAAACATTTTTGATTTTGAAATTTTACACATATGTTCACGGAAACGCATTACATTTTATGGCGCCACACTTCCAAGTGCTTGCAAAAATATTTAACTATAGATTATAAGTTATTTAATTTTTAAAATTTAAAACAATGCATAAAAATTTATGAGCGTCATCAATATTAAAAGTTTGTGTATACATACTGCACAGCCCAGTCCGATGCTTCGCTAGATTTATAACGACGTCATGAATAGAAATCTCAATTTTTAGCAAATTACATGTGATTTATATTCTTGTAGTGTCTTCAAATTTGTAAACACGGCAGAAAAATCGTATACAACCAATCTCAAATCAATAACCTAAATATATTTCAGTAATTGTGAGTTGTCTCTTATGTCGTTTCAACCGTATTAAAACATTTTTTTATTGGACGCTGCCCCGTTCGGACGGCCGACGTCGCCTTTTCTGTTAAAACCCCAGTCACATTTCCAAAAACGACCAACGGCCGACGGGTTTTGAAGGAAAAATGGGATTCTTCGGGTGACAATCGTCAGTTCATCGGCCGTTGTCTTGGCCGATTTTGACCTATTTTTTTGTCGGCCGACCAATTTTGTGTCCATCGGTCCAAGTTATAATTTTTCATGCGTCGGTGGCCGATTTCTTCAAGTGCAGTTATCAGTCGACCAACCTTCGATCATCGTCCGACCATCGGCTGTCAGTTTATTAAGTCGGTCGTCCGTCGTTGGACAATAAGCATGTTGAAAATTTCGGCCGACAGTTGAAATCAAACTGTAGCTCAGAGCTCGATGATCGGGCGACGATTGGCCGACTTGTGAATATTTAACCTATTAAGGATACATAAAACAAACAAAATTTTGATGCATAGATTGATATTAATTTTTTTAATGGAGATAACATAAATAATTAATCCGTAGGATATAATGAAAATCTAAAGTTTTCCTTGCTGCTTAGATATGCGCCATTTGTCGTTTTTTATGCAATTCTATACAAATTTTACACACATTTTCAACATCGAGTCACAATTTTATAAGATTCTGCCACTTTGCCTTGCAAACATTACTCACGTCATCTATCTGAATATAGATATATGAAAAAATATTGCTGATTTCTAAAGAGAAAAAGGTTTTTGTGTTATTTATCAAAGTCATCGGTGTCCCTAGGAAATAATGTGACTGCTCCGTGTCGCCCGATACTGTGTCGGCCGATCCTGTTCTTTCAGCCGACAAGACCAGAAAAATTTAGTCGCCCGTCCATCGGCTTAAATGTGACCTAGGCATAAGTTTTGACACATATTTGCAAGGGTTTTTGTTTAATATTTTCACTGCCTACATAGCAAGCGATACTTAAGATATCAGCAAATGATTATAGTCTCCTTATTTGTGTTACATATTATTTTGATTATGTTTTGACTTGTTTTGTATAGAAAATAATCATTTTAATCTGAAAACTTTTTATCAGAGTTCATGGCATTTTAACCTTGGTCCGTGCGCACCATCTGCAAAGACCCCGATTTTTACAAAAATATTAAGTTCCATCAATAAAAATTATATCATTCCGACTTGGATTTTCATAAGAAATATTTTGAAATACAATAGATTCATATAGAACCATTTATTTTAACAAAAACGTCATTGTCCACGAACTTTTTGGATAACCATCGTATAGTCCTTAATTTGTTCATAATTTTACCTATTTTACAAATACGACTGATTTGTTTTTGATAAGTAGATCACAAATTATCTGACTCGATGCTGTCATTTGTTACATTGTAAAGGGATATGATATAAAATTTTGAATGCTTGAGTTGTTTATAATTACCCTGGTACCTATAAGAAAATTGTACAGTTTGTCAGAAGTACAGCTTTAAAGAAGACGCGCAATATGCATTAACAATTTTTTAAAGAATGACTGAAGTTAAATCCGTAAGGTGTCAAATATTTGAAATGGAATTCATATGGAAAGAATATCTTGAAAATTTATCAGAAGGTAAGGTTTATCACGTATAGCTCTTATCAAATTACTAATAACTAAATAAAGTATCTTTTTATGACTTTCCTACTTATAAAATTAGATCGTTAGCTAGATGTGAATAATTCACTAAAAATTGCTGCAAATACATGTATAGGCCTATACATTGTTATACTTTCCCCGTAAGCTTCGCCTCGGAAAAAAGTCATAGTCTTGGGTAAATGGAAACTTGTCAATTCCACAATCGATGTTATATTTTAACTGTAATTAAAAATAATATAAAATATAAATGCAGATCAAATCCGGTGTATGAGACTGGTCAAAATTTTCCTGCCTGTGAAATCAACAGCCTGGTATACTGATGTCTCCAAAGCAATTCCAAAAGCATATAGTAATCTAAATACTAGTTTTTTTTAAATTGACTCTATTCTCAATACCAACAAATAAGACCAAACGTCAAAGAATATGCAACTCAAACTGAAACTTTCCAGGATACAATGTTTTGCAAATACCACACCTTTCAAGATATTTAAAAAAAAATATATGAACTCTAGAATGTGCACTACCATCTAATTTTGAGGTCAATAAGTATTTTGAATGAAATCCCAAACCTTGTCTGGTTGTGTCTGTTTTCTAGTTTTATTCCATCATAGATGATGCAAAGCATGTACATTGATATTAAGAAACTTTACAAATGAATCTACCTGTACTTGGTAAGCACAATTTTAATCCATGGGCTTGTAAATCTTAAATTTATATTATTAAACCCTACCAGGTACTTTTCAAAGTCATTTAAAAAATTATTTATAAAAAAAAAATAATTTGTATTATCTGTTTAATGACAACACATATAATAAATTATGAATACATTTTAATATTTGTTAATTACCTACATGTACTAGTTAATGAATTAACAAATAAAGTCATATCATATCCTTACAATTTAAAAAAATGGATTTAAAAAAAATTACATGTATTAGCAAAAGAAAGTGAAAAGCAGTACAGTGCATTTTATACATCCAGCACAAATAAAACGTGTTTAAATTTTAACCCGCAAAACTCCTTTATCTTGACTGAATTTGTACTTTATTCATCACTGTTGCAGTGTAAAGGTGCCAGCCTTTTTACTTTACCTTGAAAAAATGCAAATTATTTACACATTTTCTATCATTGCAAGTCAGATATTGGTCACTGTAACAACTCTCTAACTAACAGACTTTTCTTTTTTACATAAAAAAGAAATAAAATGCACCAAAAAGTACAAAGTTGACACATAATGGTTACCTTAGTAACACCATTAATAATAATGTTCAAATTTTTTTGACTAGAAAACTTTTGTTTGAAACAAAAATGTACATTCCAGATAATTTCAGATAAATATAACACGAAATGCCATGGCAAAAAATGGGTATATTCTGTTAAAAGTTAAATTCTCACAAATACCCTATATGAAGAAGTACATATATAGTTAAAGTGATGAATGAAAATCAATTATGATATAAAGGAACACAAAAAAAATTAAATATACATAATAAATATTCAGTTTTTCGCAAGGAATCTTTTTACCAAAGAAAAAAATAGAATACAATTGAAATTCCACTTAGGATGGAGGTTTGTATGAACAACTTACATTGATAAAACCACTGGAACACAGATGGGCGAAACACTTTGTTTAAGGTTACTTTGCATCTATCAAAGTGACACTCCATATGTGAAAGTTTGGTTCATAATTTAGAACATTTAGGTGCTGAAATTTACAAGGGTGGCTAGAACATTAATTGTAGATTATATGCACTTTATTTTGAACATATGCATGCATTACACTAAGTAGAAAGACAAAAAAAAAGACAATAACTAAACGATAAAATTTCTATGTTTACCCTTCTGTTTTATTTCAATTTTTCTCCAAGTATATTCAGTATTTGAGATAATATACATTTCTCAGCATTAGAAATTATCAGTATTTATGATAAATTAAACAAATGTCGATGTTTTAAATGTAATTTAAAATAGAATTTTATTTAAAGTAATTTCGAAAGCTAAAAAAAGTTCAAATACCTATTTAATTACTATGAATACCAAATGGTGAATAAGTGCATAATGAACAAAAAAAAAAAAAACAAGAGAAAATCATAAAATAATACACATCATTTTTTGGTTATATAAACATAGTTGACTTTCCATACCCTGATCACAATGTGTTACAAGGAACATTATAGAACAATACTGCAAAATAAAAAAAAACAAGCTTATATGCTTTAATAAAAAATGTAAATAAAAAACATGAAAAATATATATAGAGTATATAAATATTATGACATTAAACAAGGGTTGATCATGAAGTTATTAGACTTAACTTTATAATAGTTAAAGTTTAACTATAGTTAAAATGTTTGTATTTCAACAAGGATATGTATGTAACATCAAGATAATTAAATATTTTTTGTAAAAAGAAAAAAGTTAGCGTATGAAAAACCTGCATTTTTATGAGAGATTGAAGCTTAGCATCAGCTTAAAACTTTTTATTATTCACTTCACCAGGGTCCCTTCTGGGGGTAAGGACAAGAGCCACCTTCAGCTGGGGGAGGAGCAGAGGGCCCCCCAGGGGGAGCCTTAGCCCATGCTGGCATGGGTCCCTGATTCTGGGTTGGAGGAGGGGGAGGGGGGTTTTGCCCTTGGTTTTGCTGAGGTGGACTTTGTCCAGGAAGAACAACGTCAGTCCTAGGTGGCTTAGGAGTGATTTTGTTAGCTTGCATGTATTGCACCACTTGTCCTGGTATTTCTGCCAGTACCTCTTTGGCCAGTGCTGCTTGGGATATCTGAGTGTTTCCCCCTGATTGGCCTCCTAGGAAGTCTCGGAAAGGAACAAACTGAGACACAAAGAAAAATTATATAATAGTATGTGAACTTCTCTAACAAGAAGTTAAATGCTTTTTAAAAGTTTATACAAGATTTCAGAATGAATTTTTTATCCACATACAGTTTCAAAACTCTTCATAATCTAAGCACTTTTCAATTAAAAATATCTGGGAGAAATTCAAATGCACATTTCCCTTTGTCATACCTGTACTATGTCTCGCACAGCATATTTTCCATTTGAACACAATCTTTGGTCATCTGCATCAAGCACATTCATTGCTGAAAAATATCAAAAGGGAAGTAAATTCTGAAATTAAATATCTTGTGCACTATATACATGTAGTGCGTTACACAATTGGCAGAATGGTATACCTTTACTCAGAAGACTTTCCACTGATAAAAACGAAAAATCACCTATTGCACATTGTACACCTATGATTCTAGTGTTAAATTTCAATTTCAAATAACTACGTCAATGACCTACTTTTCATGCTAGTGGCCCCTCAGTATTTCTTGGAAAATACCTCAATTTTTCACACCATGACCAATTTTTTCTTTACTCACAAAATATTACAAGAAACACAACTCTTTAAATAATAAAATATTATAGCAACAGAACAACTTTGCTTCATATAAAGAAAAGATTAGAGTGGGCCATAAACTTAATAATTATTACTGGTTTTGTCATATTTACATTTTTTCTCCATTTTTAATTGTGCAAAAATCTGACTGATGAACTCTAAATCATTTATAACCTTAGGTTATTCCTATTAATTTTCATATTAATGTTATATGTCAATGATCAAATTCTTGAGATTTGGTTTTTGTTCACATTTTTGAATTTCTTTATTTCATGGCATTCAATTATTTGAAACAATTTATGAGTTTTAACACATATAATATTTGCAAAATGATGTATAAAAATACATCTAATCTTTACATTGTGATTAATATTGCAAGAAATCAAATATCTAATTAAAAATTTAGTCCGAATTTCCTCTGCATAACCATACATTGACTTTTATTCTTGTATATTTTCTTCAAATAATAAAATGTTAAATTTTAAAATTGATATTGAGCTAAAACTTAGTTATTTTATCCATTAAGAACAATTTTTGATTTAACATTTATACTTTATAAAATTTCCTGTCAGTTTTCAATCCCCTTAAAGTGAAACTTGGACAGTAATCATCAAAAAGATTTTTTTCCTCAACACAGAAATTTTGATATATACACTTTATCATTCTAGGTTGTTAGTTCTGTCATTTCATTTTTTCCATGAAATTTCATCTTCAGGTTACAGTGATTTCACATATGTAATACCTAAAACATCATAAGTAAATTTTTTTTTTAATTTTTAATGAATAATTTGTACCTGTAAAATCAGCATTTCCCACACCTACAATAATTATGGAAAGGGGCAAGTGAGAGGCCTGTGGAAAAATAAAAAGTTAAAGTGTAAAACATTTAATTATGTAAATCTTTTTGCACTATATACATGTAGAGTGCAATTTGTAACTTTACAAAAAATGTCTACACTGTTTTTAATCGTTATAAAAACATGAATGAAGTGAACTTCTTTATGAAGCATATCAGCTAAATGATACTGTTGTACATCTTTGAAAGAAAATCAGAAAACATCAAATCTTTCTTAAGTTATTTGAAGATACTTCACTTTTTATCAATAAAGTTTTATTGTTCTTGGCAAATAGCATGGTTATAAAATAAAATTTGTCTCTGCAATTTTTTTTAACATCCCTGGTATCTTAAAACAACTAAATGCAATCAGTGATTAAAGAAAATATTTTGAATCTGGAATGCAAACTGCATCATTTATCTTTTTTCAAAATTAAAATTAGAATTTTCATATACACATAAATACATGTACATTTAATAAAAAAAAGATAAAATGTCCTGTGTTCAAATTATTGAATATTGTAAATCATCTTCAATCTTACATTGACTATAGCCTCAATAGTGTTCCTAATGTCTGTGATTTCTCCATCTGTCAGAATCAGCAGGACAAAGTAATTAGACCCATCTCTGACTGATGCTGCAAACCTGTCATAAACAAAGAGAAAACATGTATTTAATCAGTACATGTTATGACAAAAAGTCACAGCAAAAGTTAACTTCAAATACATTATTCTACATTAGTGAAAAAGTTGTTGAATGAATGTAACCAATCTTCCTGATCTGCACAAAGATAATGTACAAAACTGAAGTTGTTAAGATTATCTTGTGTATTTAGAAATTCTTGCTGGCAAGAGTTAAATGTTTATTTGTAGTAATGCTTTTACCAAAAAAATTCAAAATTCAATGCGGCAGGCAGATTTTTTTTTTTTGAAGCAGTTAAAATGATAACGTTATTTAATATTTGCATAACTTGTCATGTCTTTTTTAATGTTTTGCTGTTGTAATTATATGATCATATTTTGGAGGGTAACAATTGATATTCACACTCCAAAAGATAACCATTGGGCCAAGCTTAAAAAATTCTTTGTTTGCAGTTGCCGACCTATAATTTTTAGTCTAGGTAGGTAGGTAGGCAATTTTTTTTTTTTTGAAAAAAAAAAATTGTTTCCAGATCTTTGTCATGTTTGTTAGATACCATAAAATTAAGTTTTTCACAGGCCTACTTTACATGAATAAGCTGCACTCTTGGTATAAACTAATGATTGATGAAGACAAAAATTGAAAATGAAAGTTTTAATATCTTGAAAAATTGGAGAAAAAAAAAATATTACAAAATGGCTAAAAAAAAGTTTGGGTCGGGTGCATTTTCAGTGGGTCGGTCGGCAACTGCAAACAAACAATATTTTATTTTAGGCCTTGTCAACTTTACTTCACATTGTTTGGAAAAGGTTTTCTCTCAGTGGATCAATTTCCATTTGAATCTACAACATGTAAAAAATAAAAAAATAAAATTATAAGATCTTACTTTGATACATGATTGATTACAGGAGAAAAGTTGGTAGGTCCATAAAGCTGAACTCTTCTTATTGCATTCTGATATGCATCTAAAATACCAGCTATACCCTGCACATAGGGATTGGCTGCATTAAAATTCTGAAAACAAATTCAAAAGTTTTTTATAAAAGTCCTGGCAGAACTATATTTAAAAGGTGGAAAATTTCTTCTCTTGAAGGTCAAACAGACAGATGGGAAAATACAAAATTACCAAATCATTAAACAAAAATTGAATTGAATGCAGTATTGTTTTACTGGTTATCATGAACATATAGTAATAACATGTATCATGTCCACCAAGTTAAGTATAAAAATGTGAATAAACAATAAATGTACCACAGGAAACTCATGTGAAACAGTTCCGTCTGGTAACTTAGCACCAAATCCTAACACAGGGAACAGTTTGTCACTGCAATGAAGACAAAGACATCATCACTTATATGGTGCAAGGTATTATTCAACAGACATGTGTTAATTTGTGTTCCAAGCAACAACATGGTTTATAATCACAACTACAAAACCAAGTAGATGCAGAGGGACTTAATCGCTAAAGAAACACGCACGCTAACTCTCGATTCCCGCCTACATTTTGGAACTATTTAATTCAAATTCAAAAGCAATTTGGCCATAAAATCTTTGTTTAATACAAAGAACTGTTCAATGATAATTGATGAATTGTCTTAATAACAGTGCTAAACAGTAAATTATACATAATTCTAGCTCTTGAAAAAAGGGGGGTAGACGATACTTTCCATTGAAATCGGAGTTTCAGGCATCACCATATTTTGAAATAGTCTTGGATATGATTAAATGTTCCTTATATAGTTTCTTGTGTCTTAGGCAAATAAATAAAACATGAATAAATCAATAAAATATAATGTTTCAGTTGTTAATCGCTTTGAAATTGGTGGAAAAATAAACTTTTTATCGTTTCTTGTCAAAAAACATATGTTCCCCCCGTGTCACACAAAAAGCTTTGGTATGAATGTGTGAAATAACATTCCATATTACCTGTAAAAAGGAATTTTTGTGACACGGGGAGGGGGGGGGAGAAGATGTCTTAAAAATAATTTTCCGTTTTCCGTTGATTTCTTAAGTGAAAAACACAAGTTTTACCAAAATTTTAGAGTTATCTCTCTTTGTTTTCCCAAATAAGTAATGTTTTATGAAAATCCATATAATTATTTATAAAAATATTAAAAATTTATCAAATATGTTAACTTTTGAAAATTGACTTGGAAGTAGGCGGGAGAACAATACTATCGTTCGCAGTTCTTTTACATCTCACTTAAAAAAAAATCAACTTATATGGTATACAGCAAATTTCGTTTAGTACAAACACGGACATTGCGAATTTACGGATATAGCGAAGTCATCTTGGATTCCCAGCTATATAAATTTAATAAATTTCTTATACCGTTATAATGAATTATGGATATAGCAAAGTAATTTCATAGCTCCCAGTTTCTGTAGTATAAAGATACATGCAGCCAGTTAACATCTGAGTGTTTACCTGTCATAGTCCTGGATGATCTCCCCTACAGCTTGTATGGCTGCCACATACTGGTTGGGTTGATAGGGGTTGATGTAGTGTAGAGAGTGGGGGGAGGCAGGATTTCCATTGGATCCAGTAAAATCTATTGCCACTGTGAAATTCAACTGTGTCCTAAAAATATATTAATTAGGATTTTCATTTACAAATCTCTCAATCTAATTAAATTAGATGTTTTGAATCGGCTATCGCTTCTCAAACAATAATTTTAAATAGATTACAAATCTCTTATTAATTTATAGGAACTTTCAACAAAGCAGTTTACATAAATTCCTTTGTTTAACTTACTTACCCTCCTTTTAAAAAGTCTAAAAATGATGGCTTGATTTCTTTTTTAACATTGAGCAAATGAATCTGGAATAAAAAAGTATTAAAAATTATTTTTTATGCACCCGGATTGATAGATCCGGGGTGTATTTGTTTTTGTCCTGTCTGTCTGTTTGTTTGTTTGTCTGCAAACTTTAACCTCCGCCATAACTTTTGAACCATAAAATATACAGACTTCTTATTTGGTATGCATACTCCACTAATAAAGCTTTTTCAAACGACACCAAGATCAATGACTTTGTGACCTTGACTGCGACCTATATACTAAAAATAGCCTTTTTTCTGCAAACTTTAACCTTCGCCGTAACTTTTGAACCATGAAAGTTAGAGACTTCATATTTTGTATGCATACTGTACTAATTAATTTCTTTCCAATGATACCAAGGTCAATGACCTTGTGACCTTGACTGTTGACTTTTATGCTAAAAATAGCTTATATGATCTATCACTATAACTTTTGAACCATAGGAGACAGATATTTCATAATTAGTATGCATACTCCATTAATTAAGCCCTTTCAAATGACACAAAGTTCAATGACCTTTTGACCTTGACTGTGACTTTATGCTAGATAAGCTTTTTTGAACCTTAACCATAACTTTTGAACTATGAGACATTGAAACTTAATATTTGGTATGCATACTCCACTAATCATGTTCTTTCAAATTATTCCAAGGTTAATGACTTTGTGACCTTGACCTATATGCTAAAAATAGCTTTTTTGATTTTTTGCCACCGGGCGCTTAGTGTTTCACAAACACATCTTGTTTTTTTTAATTTCATTCTTCAGCCAATTTGCCTGAAAAAACAAAATGCTTTTCAAAAAGTTTTTAAAAAAAATATCAATGATAAAAATATGAATACCTGTCCTGAATTTTTGTAGCTTTTCTTCTTAGACTTTTTCTTCTGATTAATTAACTGGAAAAAAAATAAAGTTAGGATGTAAATGCAAGCTATTTTCAACAAAATCTAAAACAAACTCCTCTGACAAGAATTTTGAAATATAAGTATTGTTTAAAAAAAGGTAAGGAAGGATAGCAAAAGAAATACAAGAATCAAAGAGGCAATAAATGCAAAAAGAATAAAATCCAGCTTTATAATACGTACCTCAAAACTAAGATTTGGTTTGCCAGTTAGTTCCCTTATATTAGTGGTAAAATCTCCTATAAAATCATGGCTGTTGGAAAGAAGAAAATTTCAATGACTTTGAAACAAACAACACCACCGAATATCAATTAAATTAAATAATTGAAAAAAACATTTAAAATGTAATTAAGTCAAAGTCACCTTCCATCACTATCCCAGTCGTGGCATTCAATCTTCACAGTTCTACAAAAAATCAAAATGCACTTTTTCAGTATTGTAGGAGTGGGATAATACACTAATCTTGTGATACGATACGTATCTTGATACATATAACATGATATGATGCGTATCTTGATATTATGATAATTATAAAACTTAATTAAGACTATTAAAAAACTTTGTACATGTATTTTATTTCATTTTTTTTTGTTTTTGATTTAAGGTATACCTTTACTCAGATGATAAAAAATTCCACTGATAAGATTGAAAAACCACCTATTGCACATTGTACACATGTGATTCTTGTGTTAAATTTCAATTTCAAATAACTAGGTCAATGACCTGCTTTTCGTGCTAGTGGGCCCTGAGTATTTGTCGGAAAATGCCCAAATTTTTCACACTATGACCAATTTTTTCTTCGTTCAGAAAATATTACAAGCAACAAAACTCTCTAAATAATGAAATATTATAGCAATGGAACAGCGTTGCTTCATGGAAAGAAACGATTAGAGTTTGGGTCATAAACTTGATAATTATTACAGTCCGAATTCCCTCTGTCATATTTATATTTTTCCCCATTTTTAATTGAATATTACAAAAATCTGAATGATAAGAACTCTAAATCATTTATAGCCTCAGGTAACTTTTGTTGCCCCAATTCTCATTGTATTAATATTATATGGGGTCAATGATCAAATTATTGAGATATGTTGTCTGAAATGGTGTTTGTTCATATTTTTGAATTTCTTTATTTAACGGCATTCAATTATTTGAAATAACTTATGAGCTTTAATATGAGCTTGAACACATATAAAAGTTGCAAAATGGTGTTTAAAAATACATATAACCTTTACATTGTGTTGAATATTGCAAAATAAAAAAGAATTGACAAAAATGAGAATCAAAAAATTAGTCCGAATTTCCTCTGCACTGCCATACATTGACTTTTGTTCCTGTATATTTTCTTCAAATAATAAAATATTCAATTTTTAAATTGACATTGAGCTAAAACTTAGTTATTTTATGCATTCAGAACAATTTTTGATTTAACATATTATACTTTATAAAATTTCCTGTCTGTTTTTTGAAACCTGAGTAAACGTCATCCTTAAATCAAAAATTTGTGCTATATCAAATCACATGCCTAGAAATTTATACTTGAAGATCATCATTTTCACTGACTAGAAATTTTAAAAAAAAAACAATATTATATCTTGTACATATTGCCAAATGTCTATAAACAAGTTGATTACAAATAGACTGATAATAGTTGCAACAATATTGCTGTCTCCATTTGGGAAGTGCTACATTATTGCAGCTAGTCAGGTTGGTGTATTCAGACTTGTGAAAAATTTTAAATGACTGAAATCCACATCAATATTTACAAGAAAACATTGATGTAACCATCAATTGTCGCCCGGGAAATATATAAAGTAAACAATGAAAATGAGTCTTGATCATCAAACCGCTTCTTCAAAAATAGTGAAAAGGCATGCGTCTAATTGATGGAGATGATAGCAGCGAATATTTTGAAAACTTGCAGTCAGCTAAAAATCAATCAAAAACGATACCATTTTAAACTTGATGAATTCCTCAAGTAAATGTTGGCTGCATAAAATATAAATTGAAGTTAGACACACGCATCACCTATATTTAAAAATGTATTCATTTTCAATTTTAGAATATAAAACACGAACTGTGCAGAGTACGTTCTTATCCGAGAAGTAAAATTCCATGTTCTAAAAAAAGGTACCTGTCGTTTTTTCGAAAGTTAATGATAAGCAACTTTATATATCAAATATGAAAAGCATATATATTTTTACAGATTCACTTTAGGAAAGTAAATATATTATGTATCTCGTAATTTTTGAACGGAAAGGACATTCTGATTAACAATCTTTTCAATGTTTAGAAAACCTTTAATTCTAAATAACTACTCCCACCCTAATCCCCATATACCAACACTTAAACTTATATGTATAGAGCAGCCCGGTCCTCCGGGCTGCAATAATGAGGAACATCTCTGTGATAAATGAAAACAAGATAGTAAGATCTTAAGTACATGTATACCTATCATAATCCCCATTACAAAGTTTTGCTACTGGAATTTGGAAAGGCCGCCATGTTGGATTGAGTGTATTTTTTATAACCTCTGTCTTATGAACAGCTGTGAAACTGAAAAAATATAACAAATATTTAATACATATATATATTATTAAAAACTGTTAAACATATGAATATAGGAAAAGGATAATTTTGAAAAATACTCATATTTTTATATTTTTTATCATTAGACAGTACTTATAATTCTTATGACCTGTTGTGATAATGTACAGTAACGTATAAAGGAGCTATGCTTAATCTTGTACTTGCATATTGTACATTAAAAGATATTCCTGTGCACACCAGGAAATAGTTTTTCATAATACTTCCCGCAGATTAAAGATTGCAATATATAGCCAGCACACTATACCTGCGGTCCTCATTGGCCTTATACAGAATCAGGAAGGGGTCGGATTTTCCCAGAAAGTCTTTCTTGTCTAGCTTAGTTCCACTGAAGTGTAGCGTTAACAGCTCCTAGTAAAAAAAGAAAAAAAGAAATTTTTTTGAATGCACATGTTTGAATATTAAAGCAAGTACTATGCTACAGCTCTATTACGGGTAAAATAGGCTATAGACAATGTAACATAGTGGATACATCCTATATAAGTACCATTCAAGAGATGATAAAATCTACATCCAAACTTTTAGTAAGAAATACTACAACACGATATCAATTTCCTTTCTTAATCTGTACAGGGTTGGTTATTACATGATTGAACTACATGTTTATATACATAAAGATTTGATAAGAGGTTTATTTTTTTGTTTCAACACAGTGATTCCTTTCATTTTCCGTACCTTTGAAGAACTCATTTCTTCAGCTCTTACTGAAAGGAATAAATTAAACATCATTATTACATTTATTGGTAGTAAAGAATAATTCTACCTTCTCTACATAGAGAAACAGTGAACAAAATTGACATTAACTACTCCAAAAAATTTTGACAGTCATTTACATGTATGTATTCATAAAAATTTTGATCAATGTGCGTAATTTATAATTATTTATTACTACATCAAAGTTCTGTTCAATTTTCTGTCACATCATACATTCAGTAAAAGTTTCAATAATGAAATAATTTGAAGATATCATTCAGTTGTGTTTAGTATGTTTACATGTTTACAATTATTCAATTGTGTGTAGTATGTTTACATGTACCTACCAATAATCTGTCCACGACCCTTTGATCCCCTGAAATATTGAAACCAAACTGAATATTCAACATTTCTATACATAAATAGAACATGTTGTCATTTTTTTTAAGTTTATCTGTCCTTTTTGTTATGAAATTGATATGGAAGGAATATGTAAATAATCAATATATATTATTTTTTATCAAAAATTAATTTTAGAGGGCAATAACTCAGCGACGTACTGCAGCTTAGCATCCATCCTTCCACTGGAAGCCCCAACAATTTCTCCCAGTGAACATTCCAACCTCCCTAGAAAATCCTGTAAATGTAAATGTAATAGCCTGTAAATATTGTAAAAACTTTTTGATTCTAAACGAGAGAGTCTGAGAGAATGTGTACTGAATGAACATGTAATTTAGAAAAAATGAATGCATTTAAAATGCATTTATTTTTTTCTAAATTATTAGAATGGTTAATTATTTTAATATAAGTACTTACATGTGCTGATAGGGCTTGTTTAGGTGAGTCTACATCATATCTACAATAAAATTTATACTTATTGATACAAATAAAGTGTTTAGAAGAGAATGACAATTATTTTAAAAAGCCACATACAAAAATTAAATATAATATATAGAGGGTATGTCTATCTAATAGGTGTACCAAAGGCAATTATGTTTCATTTACTGTAAATAGATATATTTTTACATTTCAAATTTGAGTTTCTGACTCTCTTCAAAGTAGTAGTTCATCACAAACTTGTGTACAAAGTCTGGATTGAGTGTATCCTTTATCATCTCTGTCCTGCCAAACTACAAGAAAGTCAGAACATGTGCATTTTCAGATTCATTATTATATTAAGTAACAATACAAAAATTGTATTTTTTCCTGTCTTTTCCAAGACATGTTCATAGATTCAGAGGAAATTTGAAAGATAAAAACACTACCAGGTACATTGTAACTAACAAATGTCAAATGTCTGATAATGTCAGGAATTTAAAGACACAGAGACATTTAACACAAAACAGTATCTAAAACTTTTTATAATGACCTCAACCCCCCCATTCCCCTGCATTGACTGGATAAAAGGAACTCAACAAAGCAAAGCTTTATTCGGTCAATAGTCAATACCGAGTCCCTAATAAAACCTTGAACATGTATTCCAATGTTCTAAACATCATCATGATTCCCTCTGGTTCCTGGTGGAACATATGTGTAAGAAATTAGGCTGGACTGAGGACATCAGCCTGGATAGCTCAGTGGTTAGAGCATCTGCCAAGTGATGCTGGGGTCATGGGTTCACTTCCAGGTCCAGCCATACGTTTCCATTGTATATGTATTTATAAAAATTCAACGTTAGTATGTTTACTCATAACTCCTTTCCATTGTTACACCTGTTAACTAATTTTAAATTAACACTGACACACATGTACTGTCAAAAATTTGATCAAACATAGGACCCAAGACATTTCTCATCTGATTATCAAATTCAGAGGTAGATCTATCAATAAACCTGTATAAAACTAATAAAGTAAATATCATGTTAATGCCTCACCTCCTGATAAGAACCTGTTCTTGCATCCTTCATGTATAGTACACACATTGGATCCGATTTAGAAAAGGCATCTTTGTCCTGAAGATTTCTTCAAATACAAAAATAAGCTGTAACTGCATGTATTAATTCAGAAAAAAGGGAAGTTACTGTATTTCAAATGAGTGTATTTAGACATTAATGCACCACTGACTTTTATGCCCTGTTCAAACGGAGGGTTTAATTTGAATTACTGCAAATTAAATTTGAACAACATCTATACAGAGAACTTAATGCAAATTAGTTTAATTGGAATTAATTTACTTTGCATTAAATTACTTCGCATTAGATCCGAATGAATGCTAATTAGATTTTGGTATCTGTGCTGTTTTTGGGTGAACTCAATAAAGGAAAATTCCGATAATCACTAAATTTTATACAGTCTTTATTATTATTATGTCAAATGGATCTGCTCGATCTGCATACATGATGTGATTTAAAAATGATGTCACAATAGTCTTTACTGAATAGCCTTATTGCAGAAATAAAATTTCAATTCACATTAGTTTACAGTTTAAGCTTTAGCTGTTGCGTGAATGCAATTTAAATTACATTATTTTAATTCACATTAGTTCACTTCTTATTAATTTAATGCAAATTAAACTCTCTGTGTCTACAGGGCATACGTTTTACCAGTTTACTACTTAAAAGATAATCCAGTTCACTGTTTATGCATAACATGTATCTTATCATGCTTATTATCATTTATATTAATTAAACATTGGCACTCTAAAACTTATTTAGTCAATCCAGAGCACAGGTGATTGACGTTTTTAACATTTCTTTTCACAAATATTTTCTCCATACTACACTAATAATATAGGATTTTATTTATGAAAACATGGTTAAAAACATCAAGCGCCTGTAATCTAGAGAGGGCGGATAATTTACTCACCTGCAAGAGACACTTATTTCAACTTGAGTTGATGGATTCACGGCTGAGTCGGGTATAAAGCCCTGATTCGCCATACCCTCTTCTGTTTCACGTCGTTCTAGGTTACGAACAAATCATACTGATGAGCAATCTTCCATAACAGTGATAACTTGCCAAAGAACAATATTACAATCCCTCTGATCTCGTCAAATCTGTGTTTACATCCGGTTAGGAGAGGCCAGGCTAATTGAAGGCTTTGTAGAAATTGAGGACATACGGAAGACCTTCTAAAAATTATGCTTTACGTGTATGTGCAAGTAACATGAGTAATTAGGTATAGGCCTATGTGTATTTTCAGGTTAAACATTATAAACATATTTCAAAATGTCAACATGACATAAAATTATAAGTTAAAAATGCTAATTTAAGTATAATACTATTTATATTTGCGCAGGTGCAAAGAAGCCTGTGGGCCATAACACTCATATATCCGAGGGATCTGTGCCCCACATTTTTTTTTTAAATCTAATTTATTCTGATGAAATGTTTTCATTTTGTTGATCTCAACCTAGCCTCAAGTGGATACGATTTACCCGAACTTGACCCTACACAGCAATCACAGACACTTGGGGGCTGGACCCCCTTCCATTTTTTATTCCAATGTATTAGTCGAAAAATGATACATTTAAAAACGGATTATAACACCTGTATAAAGACAATCAGGTTACATTATCAATACCAAGTAGTGCATATTAGACTTCCAAAATTGGAAAAAGGTGTGTCTACCCCAGGTTTAAAAAGAAAACCAGAAGTCTCTGTCGAGACTGTAGCTCTACTGGTTTGTATCAAAAACCATTGCACTATTTTATGTATCTTTGTGTAGTCTACTTGTGTGCCAACTTATTTTGAAATCAGACCAAAACTGTAGAAGGAGTAGTGTTTTAAAGGAATTTCACAGAGAATTCTATTTATAGTAACCATGGCAACACCGTTCATCGAAATCAAAAACCGATGCACTATTCTTTGTATCTTAGTGTAGTCTACTTGTGTACCAAGTTATACTGAAATCAGACAAAAACTGTAGAAGGAGTAGCGTTTTTAAGGAATTTCACAGAAAATTCTATTTTTAGTAACCATAGCAATACCGTTCATCGAAATCAAAAACAGATGCACTATTCTATGTCTCTTAGTGTAGTCTACTTGTGTGCCAAGTGATATTGAAATCAGACAAAAACTGTAGAAGGAGTAGTGTTTTAAAGGATTTTCACAGAAAATTCTATTTTTAGTAACCATGGCAACACTGTTCATCTAAATCAAAAACCGATGCACTATTCTATGTATCTTAGTGTAGTCTACTTGTGTGCCAAGTTATATTGAAATCAGACCAAAACTGTAGAAGGAGTAGCGTTTTTAAGGAATTTTACAGAAAATTCTATTTTTAGTAACCATGGCAACACCGTTCATCGAAATCAAAAACCGATGCACTATTCTATGTATCTTAGTGTAGTCTACTTGTGTGCCAAGTTATATTGAAATCAAACCAAAACTGTAGAAGGAGTAGCGTTTTTAAGGAATTTCAAAGAAAATTCTATTTTTAGTAACCATGGCAACACCATTCATCAAAATCAAAAACTGATGCACCATTCTATGTATCTTAGTGTAGTCTACTTGTGTGCCAAGTTATATTGAAATCAGACCAAAACTGAAGAAGGAGTAGCGTTTTAAAGGAATTTCACAGAAAATTCTATTTTTAGTAACCATGGCAACACCGTTCATCAAAATCAAAAACCGATGCACTATTCTATGTATCTTAGTGTAGTCTACTTGTGTACCAAGTTATACTGAAATCAGACAAAAACTGTAGAAGGAGTAGCGTTTTAAAGGAATTTCACAGAAAATTCTATTTTTAGTAACCATGGCAACACCGTTCATCGAAATCAAAAACCGATGCACTATTCTATGTATCTTATTGTAGTCTACTTGTGTGCCAAGTAATACTGAAATCAGACCAAAACTGTAGAAGGAGTAGCGTTTTTAAGGAATTTCACAGAAAATTCTATTTTTAGTAACCATGGCAACACCGTTCATCGAAATCAAAAACCGATGCACTATTCTATGTATCTTAGTGTAGTCTACTTGTGTGCCAAGTAATACTGAAATCAAACTAAAATTGTAGGAGGAGTAGCGTTTTGAAAAATTGTTTACAGACAGACGGACAGACAGATGGACAGACAGACAGACAGACAGACAGACAGACGGACGGACGCCGGACGCATTACTATCGCATAAGCTCTTCTGGTCTCTGACCAGTAGAGCTAAAAAAATGGAAGGGAGGGGATCCAGCCCCCAAGTGCCTGTGACAGCAATATGGGAGGCATACTACATGTAGTATACATCCGGGCAACATTATACATTCCGAGTTCCTAGATATATGGGATGTCTTTTCGGGAAATTCCAAATCTTGTTTGGTTCTTCATAAATCATACAAAAAACTTGATCATAAATTCTATTTCAGCAGTCAAATAAACATGTAATTGTTAAGGTAAGATTAACTTTTAAAGCACCATATCACTTTATTAGACAAAAAATGTTAATTTAGATAAAATCAGGAATTTCGGGAAAAAATTAAAGAGAGAGAGAGAGAGAATGTATTGTGCTTTTGAAAAATAAAATAATTCCGAGGAGGAGGTTATGGTGGAAATGGCATGCACTCTTAAAATAGAGACTGAATTAATTGTATGGTTGAATGGTAAAAGGGAGAATGATACATACATGTATACACTAACAGAAAGGTGTGGGGGGGGGGGGGTCTATCAAGAACATATTGTCTGAGGGAGTATGCTCTTACGACTCGAGAGTCAGTTTTCAGATAAATGTTCGTTAAAAAGATCCCCATTAATAGGACCTGTATAATGTATTAAAAAAAAATCTTTTGAAAATATGAGATCTTATTGCTTAAACATGTTAAACTTTTGCTTGATTTGCTAATCATAAATTGACCATCTGGACCTGAACATACTAGTATTTAACTTAGAGTGCATGACAGCCCTTGACAAGAAAGTATATCAGTAAATCACAAAAAAGGACAGTTAGAACCGTAAATAAGTTTTATATACATAATTATATATAATATATCTTGGTAAAATATTTGGGGGCCACTCCTATCCCCCTTTCACTGTTCTTACTAATCTAAGTGATGAATTCGAAATAAATGTTTAATGAAATTAATTTTGTTTATATGCTCTTGAATTCAAAGCCAATTTGATGTAAGATCAAAATTGCACGACATGGTTCACCCCTTCCCATTCCGATACAGTTTTAATTCCAAGTAAAAAAAAATCGTATAACACAATTAGCCAATGTGTTTGGATTAAGAAGACTTTTGTAAGTTTATATATAGTTTATTATAAAGAGAACAACACATCGTAAAAACTACATGTAATTGTCCGTCAAATGAAGAGTCGCTCTCTTACTGTATCCAATCTCCCAGAGTTTGAAACAAGTTCGTAATTAAGATATATTGTCCGTCGTTCTACACACTGATAGTATCAATTATAATTCATAACTCAATATTAAAACATAGATAAATGTACTGTACAAATTAATATATCAATTAAAATTATAATTTATACGCTCATTGTATTACAATCGTTTATACTCCAATATCAATTTTAACAGACAAATTTTCATTTATGTGGCTTTATTCAAAATAAAGATCCAATGTTCTTCCGTCCATCTTGAAGGTATATGGTACAACACAGATTATGTGCACTGTTACAAATAAAGAATTTGCAATTTCAATTGAAAAAGGTGTTATCAAAATATCTTAAATGCCCCATTCTACATGGTGTTTTTTATACGTAGTGCTTTCATACGATGAGTGCATGCGCGTGTTTAAATGCACTATATATCTGGCACATTGTTTTCCACAGGACTTTCATTCAGAATTAGACACCGTACTAAATAGATTAAAATCCAAAATAAGAAGTTGAAACTTGATACAACATTCCAAAATCATTCTCGCGATAGTTGTCCCATGGCAATACACACTTTGTGTTGAGTTAAGTTCGCTTTCATGGCGAGCAGTGTAAAGGAAAAGGTTAAGGTGGCACCCCCACAAAATAAAGAAACTAAAGCGAATCCTGTCTCCCATTCCTCTGCTAAGGACAACGCAATGGTGGGTGTCCAGGAACAAGTTGGACCAAAGCAAAATGACAGCCGTGAATCCAAGAGCCAGAGCAGCAGCACATCATCCGTAAAACAAAACAGCACAGTATCCAATGGGAAAGCAGGCCGCAGCCATAAAACTTTAAATGGGAGTGCAAATTTTGAACAGAGCTTGGTTCCATGGAATTCTCCCAGGAGCAAGGGGAATTCTCCAAGAGGTAAAATTGGAGCACAGCATCACGGATACGCTTTTGGCAGTAAAACTGGACCTTCATCTTCGGAAACCATCGAACTTCCATTTCTGAAGGACAGTATTTACACAGATACTATTTTGGTTGTGGAAGGAAAGAAATTTTATATTCACCGATCACTTCTTGGATATGCATCGGAACATTTTCAGAAGTTGTTTGCCGTTGCACATGCAGCCAATGCAGCAGGGGATAAGAAAACAAAGCCTGAAGTACTAATTAAAGATAAGACTTACAATGACTTTGTAGAACTTCTCGCATTTTTTCATCCTGGTGTCGTTCGAGAACTAACAGGTACATGTATTAGAGTAAAGGAAACTTAAATTGACGAAAATCTAAATTTATTTAATTACGTTCTAGGATTTTTTAAGCAATTGAGTTTATAGAATTTAAAACTTTGTTTTAGAGCTAGATTCATGCAGTCTCTCTATATATTCTTTTTATTTGACAATATTTCATTCTTTTAATTAACTTTCAGATAAAACAGCAGTTCGATTATTACCAATTGCACATGAGTATGAAATGCGTCCTTTGAAAAGACGGTGTGAAAATGTATTAGTTAATCATCTCAAGAAAAATGCTTCCCTCTTCAACTCTACTACAAAAGGTCCCCCAACACAGAGGTTCCGACGTGACAACGCGCCAGAAATATTGCTAAAATGTACCAAGGCGGCCGATAAAGGTCATTCTAAGCCCGTCTTAGATGAGTGTCTCAAAGTATTTGCCAACCCCGATATTCCTCTGAAAGATTTAAAAAATAGCACCGATATTTCTGACCAAATCAAGGCAAAGATATTTGAAACCCGCGTATATACAACATCTACTAAACTCACAAAAGTGGTTGGAGCGTTAGAGAAAGAAATGCATGAGAACAATCTCTTGAAGAAACAACTGAGCGATCGATACAGCGTTCAGAAACCCGGACTGCGCATGTCCCTTAATAATTCTGTTGAAGAAGCACATCCAATTCCTTCGTCAGTTCCGGTGTTGCACGCGCATCACTATCACACTCACCACCGCCATAATATAGCAAACGGAAAAGACTTACACAAACCTCCACCTTCTACCAGAAAGAACTCAAAGAAACATTAACCAAAACACTAAAGTGGTGTACTACTACTATAGATTCAAGCCGATTTCTGTGTTTAAAAAAAGTTTGACTGTTTGATGTTGGTTGTAGGCTTGAATACCTTAAAAAGCTGTAAAATTTTAAAAGATCTGTTCGCTTAATTTGAATTTAATATTAACATTCAGTCCGCAGGTTAAGAAGTATATTAAAAAATACAGCGTTTAAATGTATATACCATAAAATGAATAAATGAATCATGTTTTGAATATACACGATATAGACTGTAGTCTTCTTTTCTCCATTCGTATTAAAGTTCTTCAAGAAAAAATCACAATCTAAACACGGTGTAACTTTTTTCTGAGTTTTTAATTACTACAAATGGAAAGAACACAAACACACAAAAAAATTGATTTTTTTTCTTCAAAAATGGAATAGACACGATTTTATTTTTTTCTATGAATTGGTCACACTTCAGTAAACATTGTAGTTATTTATAAGGTTTGACAATAATATGCTTTATTCTTTGTTAAAGTAACATATCTATATAAAGTATATATCAAATACACCATTTATAAGCAAGTTTTCAAAGTAAAATATTGCATGATTCTCTTAGGTGGAGCGTTAGCACTTTTGTCTAGTGTATTCAATATGTGAATTGAGTACTGTATCAAAATTAACTTCTTATTATTGATATTATGAGGAAAAAAACGTTCCTGGGAAAAAAATCTCGTAAAAACGTTTTCTATTTTATCAAATTTTCCATTGATGCAACATAAAAACAGACCCAAACCTTCCATTTAGATCTATGATAAATATTTATATACATAAAGTATCTATTATCATGAATTAACAGTACTTTTATTTTCATTACAGGCCTTTGGATCGCTTAAAAAACTGTGTGTGTGTAATTTTTTTTTACATCTCAATTTTTTTTTCTAAGCGATCTAAAGGCCTGTGATTATCAGAAAAATACAAAAGAAGTGCATGATGATTAATTACAGTTAAAGTTTTTTTCTTTTGTTGGAAAGTCCAATATTGTTAGAAAGTCTCATTTTTTCCTGAAAAAAAAAGGATACAAACTATGATTTTTAGTTGAACTTAACTATAAATTTCTTCTGATTAAAAAAAAAATCCAAGATAAAATTAGGCGACTACTTTTCGTACGAGCTATCCATTCCGAAATTACATAGAAGTGAAAGCCGATTGCGGTCATTTTCCCGGTTTCACTTTCAGGATGGAAGAACGTTAACATTTTAAAACTAAAAATTCTAATATGTGGCGGGAAAGATGACACTCGGATGGGTATTTTACAAGTGTTGGCAACAGTGGAAAGTACAAAGGTAAGTACAACCGATTCAGTTTAACCCCATCACAATGATACTAATTCGAATTTCCTCGAAATTGAAGGATTCGATAACGCATCTTTGTGTTATACATTTTGATAGGTTTTGTGAGCTTTATAGTCCTCTTCAAACAACCAGACAAGTATCAAATTCTGGGGGTGGAGTCGAACACTGCCTTTGGGCATAATAATTCTGTTGAAACATTGACTAATTATCCCCTGGGCCTGGGTCATTTTACAAACTACAGCAGGTCTATTTGTAATTTTATTTATTTTTTTTATTTGTTTCAGAGTAACTCGGAATGTAGAGACCTACTGCTATCAATGCAAAACTTTAGTACATTTGGTGCTGGATACAGAAGATTTTGAGATCTTGCCCGGAAAAATCATCAGACTGAAAGGGACTTGTGTTCAGTGCAATGCTCCTATTGTCAAAAACCATATTTTGAAGGGATGGCACAGAGCCCTCTTCTAAAAATTAAAAAAAAAATTTCACTGGATCAGCACTGACATCAATAAAACTAATCAACATTTACAATAAATTGTTCCGAAAGCAGACAAGGCATAAAAAAATCCACAGTGGAATGTAAAGTCATGTAAATGTAAATGTGATAAATATAATTTTAGCTATAAAACTTACCTTTAAATACTACCAGTATGTATATTATTATTTCATTTATAAATTTATTTATTTCTTTTAACTTATTTGATTTATTATCAATGAATTAAATTTTAGACTAATCAAATAATTTCTTTTCCTTCCATGTTTATATTATGAGCAGACACATATGTAGATTTTCCCTGTAAAGGTGTAGATGATCTGTAGTCAAGAGTTCTTACCAGTCCTAAATTCTGCCTTTCAGTTTTATATAGATCATGGTTTTCCTTTGACATATTTTGCATTTTGCAGAGTAATTCCCCTTAGCCGCCATCTTGTAGTGTAGGGCAAAGCAGTGAATCAAATTTTTCTTTGAGCAACCAATTTTAAACATGCCTGCCAGAAATATATGGGGGGGAAATATTTACAATCTCAAGATTATGAATTAATAGAGGCTTTAACAAACATATTTTCATAAGAAAAATAGTGTTAACTTTACCTCAGTAACCAGTATAACAAATTGAACTTAGTTGAATAATGAAGGGATCAAGGAATGCTGCCCTACAAGATGGCGGCCATGGGGAATAACTCTTGCTTAAATTAACTCAATGGAAAACTTATCAACAGTTTCACTGCTTGATGTCCAGGAGTAAAGAAGAAGATTTTTAAAGACTGCATTAATTGTAGTGGTTTTGGCCCCACCCCTCATGCCTCAAGGGGCCAGGGACCATGAAATTCACAAATTCTGTTCCCCATTACCCATAGATACTTTGTGCCAAAATTGGTTGAGCGGTTACAGTGAAGCTGAAAATGTTCGAATGTTAACACACAACGGACGACTCACGAAAACGGATATATAGCACTAGATCACTTGAGTTTACTTACGTGACCTTAAAAAGTTAAGGCTCATATAGTTTCTACTCAGAGCAAACTTGTAATATGCATTATCCCATTAATCACCACCAAACCAAATACTGTATTTAGGAGCAAAATGAAAAACTGAAAAAAATTATACAATGGAAGGGCTTTAACAATTAATTAAGAAAAAGAATGATAGAAATTCAAGGTAAGACAATAAGTGAAAGGTCAATTTCATAAAAGGATTAATTTTATGAATAATATCAACCAAAATCAACAACTGTAGCACATTGCTACTTATAATTTTTAACAAATATATGAATGTAAAGTAAATGATTTCAAACAAATGCAAACATTTGTCTCTTAGTCTAAATTATATAACATTTTTCTATAGTCTAAATTATTATGATATATATACATTAATAGCTACATGTAGATTGTTTTATCTCTTTCTTTTAAATCTATTAAAAAATTTTCTCACAATTATAACCACAAAAAGAACAATTCATGAATTATTTATGCAAGTTTCAATTAATTTCCACATTGTACAATATATTAGTAAATAAACACTTAAAACTGGTATTCCTGGAAATGTTTGCAAATACATTGTACATGTTTTGAGATTTTAAACTTAAAAATCTATACATGTATTCCCGATTCATGAAAGAAATAAAGTTAAATACTTTATAAAACATGTGCAAAAACAAAAATTATACATTTAATAAAACAATATATATAACCTTAATGATTGTTTCACTCATTCCAAACTGTCTCTGCATAAAATCATCAAAATTTCTTCTTCTCAGACATTTTTACATTTAGTTTTAAATAATTTATTTATGATAATTTTACATTTTACTTCTTTGGGTTTACTTATTTAAGTTTTAACAAATTTCATGTCAGACCCATCTCAAAAAAATCTGTACCCGTATTAAATGTCTAAAATTAGAAATTAATACACAATTCAGTAGGTTAAATACACACTGTAAATGCTTCCACTATTAAGAACAATCACGTAAAATAATATATCAACAATATATTAAATGACCAGAAATTTCATAATCTCTAGTAAGTATCATATTATCAGGTATATATCCTATCCTTTTCATTTCAATATCAAATCAAAGTATATCTATAATTCCAGTTTGAAAGATTTTTTATGAGCTCTGCATTATATGTCTTTGGAAATCACAGCTCTGCAATACATGTATTTGAAAATCACAGATGCTTTGTAAATGAAGTCCCTGGTATCAGTTTTTAACTCCTGGACTTTCATCTCCTGGTAAAGATACTTCCCGACTCTTGAACATCCATACATCCTAAAAGGTTATACAGATCCAGGTCAAGTTCATGATAACAAAAGTTAATTAAATTAAAAGTAAATAAAATTTAAGAAAAAAAAACTACAATTGGCACTTGAAGAATATTTTAAAAAGTAAAGTAAATAACATTTGATGGTGATATTCTTATTGAAGGAATCAATCATTAAAATTTTAAAGATCTTCAAGGTCTCGTGATTAAGCATTTTACCTTCAAGGTCACTTGGTTGGGGTCAACCCCTCCAGATTCCAGAACTTTAGCAAACGTTTCAATGAGCTCTTTCTCTACCTTGTCTTGTATGGAGCCCTTGACATCAATGAAATCAACATCTGCAGAGGCATAGTGGCATGAAATGGACTGAAATCAAATACATGTACATGCATTATACTCTTAAGGGAAGAAGTATCTCATGAATGTACTAATGGGCAAGTCATTGTCTGATAACGTCAAATGTATTTTATTTAATCTGGATAAGGTTCATTCTGATTCAGGGCTTTCTTCCACTCAGGGTAGAATTTCCCCCACAGAGGGACAAAGTTTTCCCTGGAGTTATTACTCAAAAAAGTACATTGTAACTTGATGCATGTTTTTCTATTCTTTCCATTTATTACACACTTTACATATGAAAAGCTTGCACACTCACCTTTCTAAAACCTTTTGTCTTGTTCATCCCTGATCCATGGATCAACAGAGGGTGGAAGAAGACAGTGTCTCCGGCTTCCATACAGAGATGGAGTCTTGGAGCATTGGGATCAAAATCTCTCACACCATGATACAGTTTGTTGACACCTCCCTGAAGAGCCAGAACATTGTACACAAAGTATTCATATATTTAAGCTAAAGCAATATGCAAAATCAATCTCGCAATGACTGTTACAGATATACATGTACTTTCTTACTATGTACAGTACTACACTAAATTCCTTTAATAAGTATATATTATTTTTTGTAGCATAAAATGAATGTACACTAATTACCTCCCATTCAGGGTAATCATGCTGGAGTAGCTCCCCTTTGTGAGAACCTGGTAATACAACCAGACACCCATTTTCCCGGTTCACTTTCTCCATGGCTGTCCAAGAGCAGACAACCCTGTCTGCAGGCCTAAAGGGAAAGAAATATAGATCTTGGTGCAGTGGGTGTCTAGAACTCTTCTGGCCTGTTAAATGCAAATGTGGTTTTATAAAGTCCAAATAACCAAGTAAATAAGCTTGATCATACAGTACATAAAGTATTTAGTTCTGAAATCAAACTGAATTGATTTAACTTTTGTATTTTTAAACAGAGGCCATGAAATTCAGAATTTTGAAAGAAGCACCCTTGATTTAACTGTATAGGTTGGTTATATAAAAATAAGAGGCATGCAACAACTTCCCCAGATTTGAATTGGGTTTGTGTTTTAAAACAGAGGCCATGAAATTCAGAATTTTGAAAGAAGCACCCTTGCTCAAAGCTCATCATAACTGTACACAGTCACTTAGTTTGAAACTTAATAGACTGTATCCAGAAGCAAAGCAGAGGATTATAAAAAAATGCATTTTCACTACATGTATCTAAAATGCGACTGCAATCCAAATTTCACACACAGATAAGAAAATGAACAGATATTTTTTTCAAACTGCCCCTATATAACTACATTGTCCTCCACCTACCCAAGGATGCTTCCATAAAAGTTTGAGCTTTCCTGGCCCAGTGGTTCTTGAGAAGAAGATTTTTAAAGATTTGTTCTATATATTTCTATGTAAAACTTGGATTCCCTATTGTTATTGTTTAGTACCTGGATCTGGGGGTTTGTTGATCAGCATGGTGTGCATGGACATGACCTTCTTTCCTGTGAATGCCTGGACATAATGAACAATCTAAAAAAAGTGTGTTAATTTTGAATGAATTGGTTTTTGACACCAATGATAAATATAATAAATAGACTCACATGTATATATACTTAAGCAAAGAATCATTATTTTTTGAGTGATAAAGTTTCATAACTGCAACGGTGTGTGCAAACAAATTGAATAACACGTAAGCACATTATGAAAATTTGAAAATAATGATTCATTGCTTATATTTACTTTTTTTAACTGTCTACCTTAACTTTAAATGTGATTTATATCTAAAAAACATATGCATTTTCCTTTTTGTAAGCTACAGATAATGGATCAGCCAACGTAACAGCTTCAATTTGAATGTGATTTTTTTATTTTCGCTTGTGACGTTGCACTTCCTCAGCTTAACCTCTTGGCACCCTGTCTGTGTTATGGTATTTTGAATGCAATGGATTTCCATTCATTTTATATGTAAAAAATATATGTAATGCAAATATTTGTACATGGTACAATTAAATTCATTACATTATATTTATTTAACTTTAAATATTTATACCTCTGGTAGGGCACAATAGCTAAATAAGACATCATCATTTTCAAAGTTCTGGATTTTGGTGATAGCTTTTTGTCCAGGAACAAACTCTGACCGGGCTATGGCCACATCTCTCATAATGGTCAACATTGGAACGACAATTTCTTTTCGGCATATTTTCTCAAATTCCTCCCTACAAATAACATTTGATATTAAAATAAATGATGTTGCTTTGAAATTAAATAATTTTAAAAAGCTGGACACAAAACCTCTCCCAAACACATGCAAGCTTTATACCAAAAAAATTTTGAATATGAAAATGCTGAATATGGACAAAAATATAACAATTTTTTTTCAATTTGCTGAAATGCACATATGATACCTGTACAGATCAAGTTTCTCTTTCGACACCAAATTCTTGATTACTATGTATCCATTGTCCTCGTAGAACTGTCTTTGTTCATCTGACAGGATTGCATTGTCCAAGGTGTAGCGGAAAGTGGGTCTCACGTCAGACACCGAATATCTGGATGTTGTGGGTGTATGCTACACATATGATTAAGGGCTTAATAAACATAACTGTGTTGATTCTAAACTATCAACATGATCAATGATCCTCATGAAATCAAAAAATGAAGTATATATATATTAGTGATCGGCAATGGGTTTACACTAAAATTCGATAATCATTTTATGACTGGGAGTAGAGAACAATTGGATTTGGGATTATCAACAAGTATATAACAATCGTTTTTAAAACGTTAGAATGAACCTGTAGTCACTGGCATGTTTGCCGACAAAGCGACGTACAAGTCATACGCAGAAAAAGGATACAGATATCGAAGACGTAGAGTCCAAATGCCCAAATATTGTTTTCAGTCTCTCTGTCATCCTTCTATGTGTATGTTACATGTAAATATATATCCAATGCTTGAAAGAATGAGACTTTGTACTGTTTTTCTTGGCCAAATGACAACTACATTCTTTCTGGTTTTTTATACACACAAGATTTCGACCAAGGGAGATAATCGAATGTTAAATCGACCCAAATTGTTTCTGTTTTTATGTCCCAGTGATAAAGAGTTTTTACCCAGTCCGTTTGCATGTCTGTTTATCCGCAAAAAAAGTTTTCCATTATTATTTTTGATGGATTTAAAAAAAAATAATTTCATATTTAACGCCTATTCCTTGTGATAAGTAAAGGCACTAATGTTTCCGTAATAAATTTTTAACCCAAAGTATAGTCAATTAGGGTTGAAAATTTATTACAGAAACAATTGTCAGGGTATAAATATCTTTTTCTTGATGTTAGAGTTTGACCCACTTTTAATTAAAAAAAAAAAATCTGACCTTTATCTGTGTAACTAGAAGAAGCAAATACTACATCCGTTCAGCTTTCATATTTCACAAGCTAGCCATAGTGTATTGCTTGTAACAAAGCCTTCCTTTGTACAACAACAATTAGTCTGTAGTTTGGCCAACTTTTGAAAAGATTTAACCATGACCATCAATATTTGCAAGTTGACACTATAGGGCTTTTATTTTACAAGACGTGTATTTCTTGTGACAACAGTTTTCCCTGCCAGACTGGGTACTATGAATTTTGAGCCTTTAACCTTGATCTTAAGAGTTTGACCAACTTTAATAAAAAAAAAATGTTAAAACTAAAATCAAAATCAAGTGAAATTTTGACTTTAAACTCCTTCTGATTAAACATTAACATGGAAATGATATTTTATTAACAATATCCACCACAGAAAATCAACAATACAATACAATATGTGATGAAATTAACAAATAAATCACCAGCACAGTAACAATTTATATATTACCCGCATATATATATATACAAACTCTTTAACAAGTACTAGAATCATAAAACAATCATTTATTAATACATTTATTAATCATTTTTGCACTGAATTATTCTTAAAAAAATAATTTGCATCTTGTCAACAAGACCAGGTCTCATATATACACCAGCAAGGTTTATTCATTATATATAGTAGAATACACTTGTAAATATATGAATCGAAATAATATAAAATTGAAACTGTACTCAAATTCTCATCATTCACAAAAAAAAATGTGTTACAACATGAACCAAATTTCTCAAATTGTAAAATTTAGCCCATTATTAACAAGTAAATATCAATCAATAATACATAAATAAAAAAAAAATTAAAAGTTCATCTGTCAAGAAATATGAATATTTTAAAAATTAATACAGTTTAAAATGGTAAAATTGATTTTTATATAACATATTATGAGAAATATTTATTTTGGCATTATTAAATTATCATGCTCTAATCTATGTTCAGTAAAATTTAGATAGGGACAATTATATGCATGGTATATAAAATGCTGATTATGAAGTTCGTCACATTGACAAATTATCTATGACCTACATTTGTGAAAGTCTAAATATGATAACGCCAGAAAATATTTAAGTCAACAACAACAGTGAATTATCACAAAATGTTCTGATATGAATCAAGGCCTGTACATGTATTTATCAGTTGGTGAATACACAAAAATTTTGCATGTAGTCATCTACCATCATTTTTCTGTTTAAATTAAAATCTATTTCATCTTTTTAGCATTGAAATTATTGTCTATCTAGAAGTCAGCTTCATTACTATCTATAAGTGTCTGTTTAAGTCAATCTTGTTTATATTTGATGATTTTGTTTTCAAACGGACCCTTCAGAATTATTTGTCCTCTGGTAAAGACACATCTCTGGCCTTGTACATCCACAGGTCCTAAAAAATAAGAGAACAAAATAATTATAGATCTGGCTTGCTGCTAATTTAAATTATTAAATACATGAAATTAATAATTTTGTCAAATATTAAAATACTCATTATCCAAATATTTCAAATTTTAACATATGTATAACATTTTTTATTTACATAAATCTACAGATTTTTTCAGGATTAAATCAATAAATGAATGATTTTTTTTTCAAAATTTCACATGAGTATCTGTCTTACTTTATTAAAATGAAAAACAGACACCAACACAATGACAGAATAAGAGGATGAACGGGACACTAAACCTTACATGTATCATCCATTTCATAATAAATGAATTATGAAAAAAATTAAGACAGCATCTAATAGGATAATCAGAGGTGCAATATTTTTTTAAAATGCAAGGTTGTGGCGGGGGGTTTATCAATAGTAACGTTTTATATACCCCAGCTCTCTCTCTACTTTTATTGCGAAATTACAGAGTATGTGTTATTATATATAGTTTTTCATGACAGAAAATTAAATAACATATTGGTTTGTTCTGAATTCATAACAATTTTGAAAAGTCAAACAGAGGCATGTAACCATGTTAACAATTCATCATACCTTCATGCTGACTTGTGAGGGGTCAATGCCTCGTGCAATCAACTTTTTGGCGTAAGTTTCAATGACTTCTTTCTCCAGACTGCCTTGAATGGAGCCTTTGACATCAATGAACTCAATTTCTCCAGAGGCATAGTGGCATGAAATGGACTAAAATAAAGACAGGATATTATAAACACTTGTACCAGTTATTAGGATGTGGAGAAAAATCTGTGTTTGATGAATTGGACATTTGGACTTTGCTTAAGCCTGGCATCTTTTCTTAGAAATGCATTCACTGTGACTCAGGTAATCTATATAGTTGTCGCACCTTTCTGAATCCCTTGGTCCTATTCATTCCTGATCCATGGATCAGCAGAGGGTGGAAGAAGACAGTATCTCCGGCCTCCATGGGAAGATGGACTCTAGGAGCATTGGGATCAAAATCTCGAACTCCATGGTACATCCTGTTTACACCTCCCTGAAAATCAGAGGATAAATTATCTTCCAATAAAAAAGTTTCAAGGTCATTGAATTATTTTTAGAATATTTTTTTCTTCTGGTGATTGAATGAGGAAAAAATAATACCTAGAGAAATATTGCGCTACCAAGCACACATAATTTCCACTAAGCATTGGTGAATGACCTGTATAAGGCATTTTATTATAATAGGTTTTTATTTCTACCATTAACTAAAAGTTTTAATTTACCTCCCATTCAGGGTAGTCATGCTGGAGTAGCTCCCCTTTGTGTGTTCCAGGCAACACAACCAGACACCCATTTTCCCGGTTCACTTTCTCCATGGCTGTCCAAGAGCAGACAACTCTGTTTGCTGGCCTGAAGGGGAAGTAATGAAGGTCCTGGTGCAGGGGGTGTCTCGAACTCTTCTTACCTGAAGAAATAAGTCAGTGCAGCATATTTTGCCATAAAAAAATTGACATGCTCATTTTCATAATCTGTGTTTATTAGCAGAGTCATGTCTCTAAAATTACTAACCATATTAAGCAGTGTAGTATCCTATAGTACATGTATGAAATAAATACCAGAATATAAACCATGTAAACCGACATTATTGATTCTGTTTAACATTATATGTACCTGGATCTGGTGGTTTGTTGATCAACATGGTGTGCATGGCCTTGACAGTCCTTCCTGTGAATGCCTGGACATATTTGATCACCTAAAACAAAAATTTCAACTCTTGCTAAAGTCTAAATATTGAATAAAGTTATTAAAGTGGATTTATATAACACTCTCAGACCCTCCAATTACTTTTATATGGTGTGAATGACTTTTACAGCAAACTTGCATCCTTTTACAGCAAACTTGTATACAGTAAAACAGGATTATAAAAAGGTGTCAGGGACAGACGATCTTGCTTCGTTATAAACGTAATTTCTTTTATCTGTTAAGTTTACAATGCATTTTAATTAAAAGCATCAATTCATTATACATGTTATATGTGTGTTCGCTATAAGTATGTTTTATTGTATTAAACATAAAATGAAGTTTACCTCTGGTAGAGCACAATAGCTAAATAAAACTTCGTCATTTTCAAAGCTCTGGATTTTGGTGATAGCCTGTTGTCCAGGAACAAACTCTGAGCGGGCTATGGCCACATCTCTCATAATGATTAGATTAGGCACTTCCACTTCCTTTCTGCATATCTTCTCAAATTCATCCCTTGATAAAAAACATTAAAAGTTATTATAATAAGATCATAAAATAAAATCATAACTATTAAAACTAAATTTTAAAAAATAGAATTATATTTCACTGTAGTGTACATGTACTTGCTTGAGAAGATATATTCAAATTATACTAAAAATGTAGGAGGAGTAGCATTTTGAAAGTATTACATAGAAATTGCTATTTTGGCAACCATATTTTGTAAAACACTGGGTTTATTTTCAATTACCGGTAGAACAGGATCCTTATACTGGATCTGTAGGAAAGGAATATCAATCCCAGAGCTATATTTTTTGGGCTTTTTGAGAAATCCAGTACAATCTGATTAAATTACATCAAATTTTCACTACGCTCCGAAATTCTGATGGTCACTGTACAGAGATCTATGTACATGCAGCGACCATCAAAATCTTGGAGCATAACAAAGATCTGATTTTAAGCAGATTACATCAAACAGACACTGTCAATTTCATAGCTGAATGACTATTAATGACTATATATTACAAGAAAATTAAATGTACCATGGATACCATGGTTACATCATATAGCGCTATATTGCAGGAAATATATTATATTTCCTGTAATATAGCGCTATATGATAGTGAGTACCATTTCTCTTGATTGCATGTCCAAGACACATCAAAGAGTAAGACTTTAAAATTTTAAAGAGCTTAAAAACTACTTTTAGCCTTATTGTACATAGAGTTACAAGAGGACCAAGTGAACTAGACAGCATTTTTGTTTAAAACCTGGCTTTATAACAACATCTCAAATCTACATGTATTGCAGTGTTAAAAAATGGTTTTAATGTTCAGGATATACAAAAAAAGCTGCAGAAAATATCACAAAAAAGAGGAAATTTAAAGATTAATTACTGAGATATGGCACTCAATCTAAAAATTTTACACACACTGACACACCACATCTCACAAATAGCCATAAGCATTACAGCTCTTTGATCCTTTGGCTCAGAAGACATCTCAGAGCTAGGAATGCATGATGAAGTAATAAAATACCTGTATTTATCAAGTTTCTCCTTTGAGACTAGATTCCTGATGACTAGATATCCATTGTCTTCATAGAATTTCCTTTGCTCATACGACAAAACTGAATTGTCTAGAGTGTAGAGAAAATTAGTACTAACATCAGGCACAACCCCGCCTGTAGAAACTGTTGGTACACACTAATTAGCAAATAGTTAAGGAAAAAGCAAGAGATGATCACCACTTGCCCTATTCTAATCCGAGGTTCCTCTGACTCTAACCCCTGATTTCATATTTTTCCGCACAAGTCATAATAAATTATATGAAAGTGTGGGTAAGAGTCAGAGGAATCTCGGATTAGCCCTATTCAAGCTACAATGCAACATATGCTTTCCATTCATTTCAACTAAAATTATACTGAAAAGCAAATAAACATAAAATTTTCTTCTATCCTTCCTCGAATGCGAAAAAGTAATTCTTAAAAATATGACATGGAGAATAATATAAATCCATGTTTCGTTTACACAATATTAGGATAAGTCCCTCAGGTCACGTCTGCAGGGTAAAATCTGTTCCATCTTTCAATCACAAATGCAACATGTGCCCCCACCGGTAGCACCAGTACAGCAACACATACCCCCCGCTCCACAAGAACCACAAATGCAGCCACAGCCACTTCAGGCACCACAACCACCACAAATGCAGCCACTGCAGGCACCACCACAAATGCAGCCGCAACCACTTCAGGCACCACAACCGCCACCACAACTACATCAAGCACCACATTTGCATCAACATGCACCACAAATTTATCCACAAGCACCTCCAATACACCAACACCCGCATGCACAGCCAATTCTGCCTTATCCACAAATACCGCAGAACAATCGACAAGACAGAATTGACAGCTCTGGTAGTGAAGAGGTTGCTGTTCCCTTTTGGTCTGTACCCAGCTCTTGGTAGGACTCCTCTAAATTGCTGGAAACCTGAGCATTTACAACTAACTTGTTGCTATGCTCGGGCGAAGCATCACTCCTAGATGGCTGTGCATCTGGTGTCAAGTCCAGTGGTTGTTGGCAGTTAGTGGTATATTCAGCATCTGGGGTTATTTGGCAACTAGCAGTTGATTGCTCACTACTCGGTGGCCATAACTCAGATGAACTGCCTTCATAATCATCCTTGTCCTCTATGTCTGGAGTTGTTGAAATCCCAGGAACATGGAGACTATCCTGTGACACCATGGTGTTCCACTGCATACCAGCAGGTGATACATCACCACTCGGTATTAGTGGAAAACCTGGTGGACACTTGCTGGTAACTGTTGGCATCTGCTGCTGATGGTTTACTGCTGCAGGCAGAACGGGTTTACAGTTGCTTGCATCTCCAGGTCCCAGTGGTGCTGAACCATCTGATAGTTTCAGACCATTGTTGTCGGGAATTTCATTTGGGAACATAGCAGGACTTTGTACAGCTCCCCCATCTTGTAATTGGACTGATGGTGTTGGCAATGGTGGACCATACATGCCATCTCTGAACCCAGGTCAATGTGGGTATCCTTATCCCTGTACAGCAGTCCCTGGGAGCTATCCAGTACCATTTCCTGGATATGGTGGACCATTTTCACAGCCATTCTATGGACCACCACAGCCATATCCCAGCATACCTTATGCATATGGCCCTTATCCCGGAATGTTCCCACCTGGATACATGGTACCACAACAGGCATACCCACAACCATGCATGTATGGAGGGCCACCAATGCCAACACCATCAGTCCAATTACAAGATGGGGGAGCTGTACAAAGTCCTGCTATGTTCCCAAATGAAATTCCCGACAACAATGGTCTGAAACTATCAGATGGTTCAGCACCACTGGGACCTGGAGATGCAAGCAACTGTAAACCCGTTCTGCCTGCAGCAGTAAACCATCAGCAGCAGATGCCAACAGTTACCAGCAAGTGTCCACCAGGTTTTCCACTAATACCGAGTGGTGATGTATCACCTGCTGGTATGCAGTGGAACACCATGGTGTCACAGGATAGTCTCCATGTTCCTGGGATTTCAACAACTCCAGACATAGAGGACAAGGATGATTATGAAGGCAGTTCATCTGAGTTATGGCCACCGAGTAGTGAGCAATCAACTGCTAGTTGCCAAATAACCCCAGATGCTGAATATACCACTAACTGCCAACAACCACTGGACTTGACACCAGATGCACAGCCATCTAGGAGTGATGCTTCGCCCGAGCATAGCAACAAGTTAGTTGTAAATGCTCAGGTTTCCAGCAATTTAGAGGAGTCCTCCTACCAAGAGCTGGGTACAGACCAAAAGGGAACAGCAACCTCTTCACTACCAGAGCTGTCAATTCATGATGAGAAGATTAGTGAAGCGCTGAATGATTGGTACTGATTGTGGCATTTGTTGAGGATGGTTTACTGCTGCAGGCAGAACGGGTTTACAGTTGAATTGACACTCTGCCCAAGTCAATGCGGTATGATGGAAAGGATTCTTGGAAGGCTTTCCAGCAAAAATTTCTGCGGTTTGCAGAAGTAAAGAACTGGAGGCCTCAAGAATCCAAAGATTATTTGGGTTGGTGTTTGGAGGGAAAGGCGAGTGAATACTATGCGACAATTATATCGCAAGACGCAGAAATAGGTTTTTTGCAATTAATGCAAAAAATGGAAAAGAGGTTCGGGTATAAAGAAATACCCGAAACAGCTCAATTGAAGATAAATTCACTCGCTCAGGTAGCCGGAGAAAGTTTAGAAGAGTGGGCTGATCGTGTGTTTCAGTTAGCTCTTCGGGCTTATGAAGGCTTGCCTGAAGATTATATGCTCAAACAGGCTATAAAGAGAATATGTCATGGCTGTACTGACAAAGAAGCTGGTCAGTATGCCATAAACCAGCACCCTACCAATATCGAGGAAACAATTGATCATTTGAAAAGTTTCCAATATAATCACCAAGCGATTTATGGTAGGGGGAGGAGGGAAATTAGAGAAATATTGATTTGTGGGGATGATGCGGATACCAGTTCCGTATGTTCCCACAAGGATCAATTCTAAGTGTCTAAGATTCAAGGGGATGGGGTACAAAATCGTATCTCGAAACTGGAAGAATATATGGGCTCCTTAAAGACAAATCTGGACACTATCATGAAGAAAATGGAAGCCCTCGCAAGACCAAGGACACCAAGTCGCAGTCCACCAAGGTTTAGGAACTCAGTATCTCGGTCCACTTCGAGATCTCCATCCCCAGCGCGGAGGTGTTATAGCTGCGGCAGTACCTCCCATTTTAAAGCGGATTGTCCTAGCCTGAACAGCCTGAATCGACCATCGAAAAGTGTTACCTTCGCTAGCCCCAAGAAGGAGGGAAACGAGAAGGGATCAGGACAGTAGGCCAACCCTTGATCCCTAATGAAGGCCTGACCATTGATAATTCTGACCCGCCCGACGAGATATACATAAGGAAAATGAGGTCATCATCAAACATTAAAGTCCAGTTAGATATAAATGGTGTACCTGTTGCGGCGGTTATTGATACCGCGGCTCAGGTAACTATAGTATCTGATAAGCTGTATAATTCCTTTAATGCAAAACCATCCATTCTGAAAAAGGTAATATTACATACAGCAGGACGAGATTTAAAAATGACAGGATACAGAGTCGGGCCGGTAAGTATTGTCATAGGGTCTCAGACTTTCATTGACAATGAAGTATTTGTGGCGCCAGTGGATGATGATATGCTCTTAGGACTTGACTTCCTACAACAACAGTCAAGCAATACTCAAATACATTGATTTGGGTGCAAATAAGTTACTTTAAAGCTAATACTTAAATGTTATGCATTTGAGTTAATGTTATATAAAACAACTACACTGCTATTTAAATCTACAAACTACAATCTACACTATTTCCCCTCCCTTTTGTGTTGCTAGGAGTGATGCTTCGCCCGAGCATAGCAACAAGTTAGTTGTAAATGCTCAGGTTTCCAGCAATTTAGAGGAGTCCTCCTACCAAGAGCTGGGTACAGACCAAAAGGGAACAGCAACCTCTTCACTACCAGAGCTGTCAATTCATGATGAGAAGATTAGTGAAGCGCTGAATGCTGATCCCATACTGTCTGTACCAGTAATCCCTGTGTATCAAGAAACTGAAAGTGACACCACAGATGGCCCAACCAGGTCTGCTTGGAATGCGGCCAACAAGGACTTCCCAAAATTGACCAATTACAAAGAGTACCTTGTTCGTGTATTCCAGTATGTGGACAATGGGCTGGGCATTCCATCTGGGCTGCCACTAGAAAACAAGTGCTGGACCGTGCCATGGCTCACTGAATTTATTTAGATCATTTGCAAATAAAACCCCTGAAATGCTTTTACCCAGTGTTTATTTACTGCAGTCTCTGACTTAGGTTGATTACTTAGTGTTGGTTTTATTCAAGTAGTGTAGTAATATACTCATTTTTAGAATTCTAGTACATGTACTTAGTTCTTATAATCGGTTTAGATATTTTGTAACTTAGTAAGTTATAATTATACTAACCTTGCTTAATTTAACAATATTATTGCTAATTATAACTTGCAGCACTATCTACTAGTCATTAGTGTTTAGTGATATTAATAAGACTTGTCTACACACTACATTTAGTACTTTAGTGATTTGTTTATAATAGGCAACTCACTTAAGTATATCAGTATACATGTAGCTAAAATATGCACAAACTACATCTGATAAGTTATAGTATTACTATTTGTAATTAAAAGCAGCTGGTTATAATACTACTGTTTCTTCATTTAAAAATAAAAGGGAGGGGAAATAGTGTAGATTGTAGTTTGTAGATTTAAATAGCAGTGTAGTTGTTTTATATAACATTAACTCAAATGCATAACATTTAAGTATTAGCTTTAAAGTAACTTATTTGCACCCAAATCAATGTATTTGAGTATTGCTTGACTGTTGTTCACAATTATAAGTACATAATGTCTATTGCAACTCAAAGTCTTTATAGTTTAACATGTCAATGTTAATACAGTAAATATATCATTAGTAATAGCTAAAGACCTATATATTTTGGTCAAAGCCATTGTTAATCTGTATCAATGTAAACTACATAGCAATGCTCAATGTGCCTGTGGTGTTGATAGGCACAGTATGATCAGTACTAAAAGCTCACTTACATTATTAATAATTTAGAGTACTTTTATTATATCTGTAGCATTTGAGATTTTAGTAAGAAGTTAGATGAATTAGACAGTGATGGTACTGATGCAGAATGTGTTTTGTAGATATGTTTTCAACAATGATATTTCATAGGATCTTCTATCAATAGTCAGCAAATATTCTTCAGTTAGTTTAGTTCTTAGGATAGGTAATAAGAAAATATACTTAGTTTAGGTTAGGCTTAAGTTAGTATAAGTTATATAGTACTAGTATTAGGCATTGTCATATTTAAGGTGACGACATACATAAGAAGTTAATCGTAATATATATTAAGTTAATTATTAGAATACATTGCAACAGTTTAGATAATTTATCTGTTGTAAAGTTCTAACATAGGCTGCACTCCGGCACGATTTGATTAGGTAAATCAGTTGTATTACACAATTAAGTTATATACTGGTACAACTGAATCTCACTCGACTAAAACCATGCATTTGCCATATGATACCATTCAGTTACAGGACTCTCATGGAAGTAGGTCAGTGTTAGGTCATAGGTTGATTTCTTTTGACTATGAATTAAGTGTTAAGATATATGAAATGTATAACAGACAACCAACATGGAATGCGTATGGCTATATTATAATGATTATTTTGATCTAATGTGGTAGATACATGCTTATCAGATGTATTATGATTTGCAAACCCAGCAATATTCAATCTTGCCACATTAACATACATGTTTATCCTGCGGAACTATAAGGCGCTAGAAGTAATTCCGGCCAAGTTCATGGGGATACATGAATTAGTTCATACGTTTTCCATGTCATATTAAATAATAATTATATATTTCTAGTTTACATTCCTCTAATAAAATTACAGTAATTGCCCCTAGCTTTATTAAATAAAACGGGGAGGAATGTGGTGAAATTGTAAATGTAAATATGTCCACTATGACCTTTCACCCTGACCTCATAGCCATCCACCCGTGCCGGCACGATTCCTACCTCAGTCGAGAATTACCAGTCAAACCTTTCACCACGTTTTCCTGCTTTGTCTTGTTATATTGTTGCATGTACCTGTGTTTACCTACCATGTAAACCCGGGTGTTCGTCGTCACCTTTGATTGTAAGGTAGGCGACATTTATTCATAGTAAAATGGTATAATTTTACTACAATTCTTTACAGACACTATAAAAGGATACAGATATCAAGCCAGTTGGATCCAAGTGTCCAAAAACTGTTTTCAGTCTCTCTGCCATTATTTTACGTGCATTTAAGACACTCAATGTATAAAAAGGACGATTTCTAGATTTAAAAAATAAACTATGGACTTTGGCACCCAACTCTTCCTGAGTAAACAAACACACTTTCTGGTTTTCAAACACAGGAGAACTCCGTAAAGGGAGATAATTAATAAGACCCACTCCACCAAATGCAGTTACGAATGCATTTAAAAAATAAATAAATAAAAAAAAAAAAAAATAAATAAATAAATAAAATGGCAGATTTAAGAACCAATGCTTTCTTACTCAAGCACTTAAAATTCATTCTCTACTAATTTTTTTTTTTACCAAAATTTTATAATACCATGGGTTAAAAATACTATCATGAATATGGACAGAATCTAGTGTCGTGAGTTTCACCTTACCCCGTAATCGAAGATTCGGGGTCGGATATGGTTTTTGCCCTGTCCGTCTGTCTTAATTTCTTACCCCAAGTTACAATATGTAAATGCCCCGTAATAGAAGATTCGGAGGTATAGTTTTGCCCTGTCTGTCTATCTGTCTGCCTATCTGTCCTTCCGGCTTTTTGTCTGTCTGACTGCTAAAATAGTTTATCTTGCCCATTACATGTAGCTGCAATAATGTATCCCTCTCCCTTTTTTTATTTGGGAGAGGCCCAGAAAATATCATAAAAAAATCGGAGAGGGCTACATTATTGCAGCTACTTGCCCATAACCTTTGATTAGTTGGAGCTATGACTTTATATTTCACACTAACCCCAAACTGAATTACAAAACTTTGTCCTTGCATGGCCATAACTTTTCAACCGTTTATGCTAGGGCTTTAAATCTGTACGTCATAAGTGTATTCATTCTGACAACTGAAGACCTTTCCTTGTGCATGTTGTGTATGCTGTCATTGATGTCATTTTGACCTCAGAGTTTAAATCACTTAATTTTTAAAATAAAATTTAAGTTGACCATGCATATCTCTTAAACATTAAGGCCTAATCATAAATATATAGGGCACTCGTTTTTCACAAGTACGAGGGGAGATCAAAAAGTTCGCGAACTAATTGAATAACTTCCATAAAAGAAACAATATTTGATTTCAATGTTTTATATATTTCTCTCTGATTTTAATGCACATCAACCACCGTTCTGCGCATGCGCGAATCACGTGATATTGGTGGTCACGTGACCCCTTCCGTAGCGTTCTGTGTAACAAAAGCTGAAATATTTTTCGGAGTTTTAAATTTCTTTCCATGTAAGTTAAATTTTATGACAAGAACAGTTCATTTGTCAGAAATGGTCAAATCTCGGCAGCAGAATGGGTGGATACGCAGGTAGGTTAAGGTTACAACCAAATATTCTACTTGCCAGATATGATATGACGTCTGTAGCAGATTTAATAATTAATCATATTTATGTCTATATATTGTTTTGTATAAACTGTTTAATTATTTAAAGTTAACTGCAGTATTCTATTATTTGGCTAACATGTAATCCAGTAACCTATTTATATCTTTACTCCTCAGCAATGACCTAGATTTTGTATTTGTATTTCAAGTGAGGAGTTATTTTGTAAAGAGGAGTTAAATTATTGCGTCATGGGAGGAGTGAGTTTAATCAGTATATAAGGGGAAGAATTGTAGAAACGCGGGAGTAGTTAGGAAAGTTTTGACAAAGTCACTCGTTTGTTTTGTTTATTTTCTATGTTTTGGATTTATCGCCATTAATAAATTGTGAACTTTTCGCTGTGTTTTCATTTAAGAGAAAAGGAATATATAGTACAGTTTTTGTGGATGGAATATAAATTATTTAGGATTTACATGCTCGGAAAATAATAAACGCTACAAGTGGTGGCCAGCGGTGGGATACAATTTTCGTTAATGGTGATATGGATTAAAAAGAAAACTGGATTTACACTTGGAATTTTTTTACAGTGATAATTCATTCTTGTGGGATTTACTAATTCGTAATTATGGATACGCAAAGACAACAAAGATTTGTGAATTATTATGACATTACGGAAAATGGGAATTTTATTCTTATTGGGCATATTGACCTAAGTGAACGAAAGGAATGTCCCAACTGCTTTGTTATGTTCATGAAATCCTAGAATCGTCAGTGCATCGCAACAGCAAACGGAGGGAAAAGTGAATTTTACAAATGTCCATTTTGCGGCTGTCGTATTAAGGCATTCAAGGAAACATTTGTGTCACACCGATAGAATTTTTGTGAATTCGTTTGGATTAGATGTGTATATAATTGTAGAATTTTACCAGGCTGGATATCTTTGTAAGTGCCGTTTTAGTGACACATGTTATAATCATCTGTTTTCTTTATATGCAACCTTTGGAGGAAAATAAAATTAAGATGACTACGCCTCGAGCAACCACGGATATTCCACAAACTCCCCCGCGTAGTGCTGTACGTCGAAACTTATTGACAGAATTTAATGAGGCCGATTCACCCGTTTGTCCGATTTACGGAGACGACCTAAATACTCCAGTAGCAGAAACGGATATAGCTACACAGGAAGAGAACGTAGAGAATTCGGCAGGATGGAGATACCTACTTGGATTTTGATTTCACTTTGTACATCTCTATCGTTTGTGGCCTATAGATTCTTTCCAGGAGACTTAGTGTTGTGGGCTACGCGAGAGTTGATCATTATATTCGTTTTTCTGGTCGTAGTCGTCATATTGATCAGTGTATTGTGTACATTTTGGCAATCTAAAGAAAGGACAGGAGACGGAAATCGACAACGGAGAACGCCGAGAATATCACCGAGAGATAGAAATGATTTTGTTGCCACACCAGGAATTACTAATCAAGCTGGAAGCACTGTAAGTATTCCAGTTAAACGAACATTTTCCGGAGATGGAGCAGCTACCTGGACGGAGTTCTATAGATATTTTGAGAATGTTGCTACTTTAAACCAGTGGACTATGCAAAGGAAAAGAGGTGTGCTGTTGACTACTTTACGCGGTCAGGCAGAGACTTATGCGTACGGACTGCCAGACAATACCTTGGGGAATTATAAGCTTTTGACAGATGCATTAAACGAGAGATTTGGACACACAGCCTTAAAGGATAGCTACATTGCTGAAGCAAAATTGCGCCGAAAACGTGCAAATGAAACATTCAGAGATTACGGACAAGCTGTAGAAGATCTATACAGAAGAGCTTATCCTGGTAACCGAGCCTGCATCGAGGAAAACAGTCTTAAGACATTTCTTGACAATTGTTCTGAAAACGAAGAGTTCAGAATGGCAGTTAAGCGAACGCGACCGAAAACAGTTCAAGACGCAGTTACTTCAGCCATGCAAGAGGAATGTATCCGGATAGGCGAGGAACAATCTGCAAAGAATTCCAAAACACCGAGAAAAGATATTTATGCAGTGAACGCAAAGCCTACATATCAGGTGGGAGATAAAAGTTATCAAAATACAAGAAACCTACAGGTGAATACCATTAAAAGGAGATGCTATACATGTGGGTCAGAGGGTCATCTGAGAAACCGTTGTCCTAAAACAAGACCAGTCGTAAAGAGAGAGAATGGCGGAGCAGTTCCTCAGGGAAAAGCAGCGCCGCCGAGGCAGTAGGCCATGCGTCGGATCGCTACATAAACTGGCCTGGCACCGATTTGGATGCAAATTCTTCATCTTCTGGTTATCAAGGAACCAATACTGATGATAATACTTTCATAGAAAGGGGATTTGATGCTGAAATTAGAAGAGAGATGACAGAAGAATCTGCAAATTTTCCATCTTGTCTTATAATCGAAGCCAGTAAGAACAAGATAGGGTTTTACGTCGATGGTTTGATTCAGGGCACATCAGTAACGTGGAAAGTAGACACCGGAGCGAAGAATACCTTTATAAGTGAAGAGCTATTCAATGAAATTCCTCCTGAAAATCGACCAGTGCTGGAGCCAGCTAAAAAGAGATTTATGACTGCAAGTGGCCAAGATTTAATTGTGATAGGAACAGCGTACATGACTTTCAACTTTGATGACTTTGAGACGGATTTAAGAGTATTTGTCGGTAGAGTTTCTCAAAATCTACTAGGAGTAGACTTTTATTCAAAATTTAGATGTAACTGGGATCACGAGAAGGGAGGATTACTTGTTAAAGTTCCATACAATAGCACATGTCTTAGACGTACAAACTGGATTATAGCAAAAGACGATGTTTCCGTGCCATCAGGACATGCAGTGGTAATTCGAACAGAATTTTCATACTCAGAAAATAAAGAAGGAGTACCAGTTGTATTGTCAAATTTTCTACACCGACATGGATTACTGGTGGCGAGAACACTGTTAAGCGCAAACAGCTTAGACGGGTACTTGAGATTATTCAATCCAGGGAGAGCGGAGGTGACAGTTAAACATGGTGTTAAAATTGCAATATTTTCTCCTGCGATTAAAGTGTCGTGTAGTGAGCGCCTTAATTCAAGTGAAGTTAATCTAGTGGAGGAAAACGGTCCACAGGAGTTACCAGATCACTTAATTCCTGTGTTTGAAAAAGGTCGAGTTAACCTCTCTGGGGAAGAGGCAGTTTTGTTTAAGAAGTTTCTGCAGAAACGTGTTGCTACATTTGCTGATCCTAATGGACATTTAGGACAGACAACTCTAGGAGAACATCATATCGTTCTGAATGACGAGCGACCTTTTAAGGAGGCATCACGGCATATGCCTTTATTTAAGCGTGATATTCTGGATAGTGAAATTCAGAAATTGGAGGACTTGGGGATTATAGAAAAATCCCATAGTCCGTGGTCATCTCAGCTTGTGTTAGTGCAAAAGAAGGATAAGTCATGGAGAGTGTGCGTGGATTATCGGAGACTTAATTCAAGAACGATAAAGGACGCATATCCAATTCCAAGAATAGATGACAACTTAGACGCTTTGGTTGGATCGTTGTGGTTTACTTCGCTAGATTTAAATATGGCGTATCATCAAGTACCAATGTCGGAAGCAGATAAGGAGAAAACAGCATTTGCTACCCCGAGAGGAGGACTCTATCAATATAATGTTATGCCATTTGGTTTGTGTAATGCGCCACCGACATTCCAAAGGATAATAGAAAAAGCTCTCTATGGATTGCAGTGGAATATTGCTGTACTGTACCTGGA